AGAAGGGAGATGTTTCATATTTAATTCTACATTAAATATATATTGTTTCATATTTAATTTTACATTAAATATATACTGCATGCAGTACCTTTAAACTAGAGTGTTAGGCTCCGCCTGCCTAGTGAACTGACCAATTGACTACAGTCTTAGAAATAAACTCATAGTATTAACATCTCGTATTCTCTACATCCACACCAAAAACATAAACAAGTGCCTGGTAGACAATTCGTATTAAATTTGGTTGCATTTTCATCTGCCGAGTTATGTAAAAACTTTGTAAAGCGAGCTATTTTGCATCCAACACATGCGCCTTTGGTTAAGATCTTAGCGATTGTTTTTCGAATACATTTTTTTCTCAACAACATGAATGACTTAAATCAATACATGCATGTAATGCTAAAAAGAAAAAAATCAACTTGTAAGCATGAAATGGGAGAATTTGCAAAAGATTTGCACTTGAGATGGAAGAATATGCAACGAATGTACACTTTAAACGAAATAATATGCAAAAGATATTCAATTCAAACGAAAGAATATGCAAAAGATGTGCACTTGAAATGGAAGAATATGCATAAGATGTACACTTTAAACGAAAGCATATGCTAAAGATGTGCACTTGAAATGGAAGAATATGCAAAAGATGTACTCTTGAAACGAAAGAATCTGCACAACATGAACACTTGATACGAAATGATATACAAAAGATGCACACTTGAAATAAAAGAATATGCAAAGATGTGCACTAGAAACAAAATAATATACAAAAGATGTACACTTTAAACGAATGAATATGCAAAATATGTGCACTTGAAATGGAAGAATATGCAAAAGATGTGTACTTGAAATCGAAGAAGATGCAAAAGATGTGCACTTGAAATGAAAGAATATGCAAGTGATAATAAAGAGGTATCTACTCAAAATCAAAATGAAAAATCGACTTAATTTAAAAGCATTGAAACGCTTTCAACTTCGCACCATATAATTATTCAAGAAAAACGAGTGAGCAAATGGTGACAATATCAAACGATATGCAATTCTTGAAAGATATATACCACGGTGATAAGGCGTTTACGTTAAAATATAATACTTCATACAAAATGAATCTCAAGCCTGCATACGACAAGAAAACAAATGCTAACTTGCCTAAACCAAGGCAAAATCATCGAATTTTTCATTGCACCGAATGTGTAATTTAATTTGAAGTTTATTGCAAAATGCTTCACTATCTAAGTCAAGATAGTGAAAACAGTTGGAGTATACTGTGAAAATATATTTGTCGCGAAATATAACGACTTTCTAGTCCGTTTAGTTCATATGACTGATCGACATGCACTATAGATGTACATACATTTGTAATTGTCGTTTGAACAAGTAATACCGCTTTAATAACCTGTTTTTGTATATTTGATATGATGTTCAAGTTTCCACGTGTGTACTTAAGGTACCATACAACTTGGTCAATTGTAAGATGTGGACACCGTATTATTCTTCCTTAAATCACCTCATTTTTTCTGGTTTCTTTCCAGTAACGTCGATCGTGGATAGATATTATTTACATGTGGAGTTTACGCATTTGAAGAAATTCGAAACAAAAATCAACTTACTAATCTATTAAGATCATTGCACTTATCTAACTGGTATTTTGGACAAGTCTTCTATTAAATAACATTTTATAAATGATAGAGAAATTAAACAGTCTTCCATCAAATAAAACATATTTGTATAAAGTAGATCTGTAAGTCTACAGTTACTTATAAAGTATGGTGCAAAACAAAACAATGCTAGTTATCATCAGTCTAACGGACTAAAAATGAGGTGTTAAAATTCAGTGCTACGCGGTGCTTCAATATTCATTTCAGTAAGACTTTTTTCCACCATATATTCCCAAAAATTTACAATAGAAACACACCATTTTGTGTGGAACTTTATTTTATGCTTAACAATTAGGAGGACTCATGTTGAGGTCGACACGACCTTTTGTAAACACTATTTCTTTGAAATATGTTATGTTTTGCGAATTGTGTTGTGCTAGATTAAAACGATAAAATGTTTCAAAAAATCGATGGAATAATTAAAAATTTGGAATAAGTTTGCAATGTCTAGCAGTAAGATATTTTATAAGCTATTTCCTACAATACGTTTAGCCTGCATTACTTTTTTGTCCAGAAAGAAACGTTGCGCGGAAAAGTTGTGGTAACGTCTTATCACCGTGTATACAACCTCTTTGAAATTACTAAAAACCTCAAAAGCTGCTGGTTTATTTTTAGAGAAGATATCGGGGATTCTCCCATGAAATTACCTACTGTATAGACTTGTGAACGTCACGTGGCACGCTCGAGGCAGAACGTTAAGTGTATAACAAATACATGAAATGTTTTGTATTCTCTCTTATGTACTCATGTACATAAACTTTGAACTTCACCGTCAAGGTAACCTAGGCGAAAGAATGCACAAGGTTATGGAGGCTATTCTTTGCCAAAAATCGAGCCTGATTGATCTGAGTTAAACAGTTTGTTAACGGAGAAATACAATTGTATTTCTTTGTATGTAAACTCCAATGTTGAATTCTTCATCATCATCATCATCATCATCTCAAGTAATTGCATCACTCCGCAAGGAGTATACTCGCAATCGGAGTTTAAACAAAATACATTTTGTTAAACGACAAAACATTAACTGTTTTGCTGATAGTTTCGAATACTCATTGTTCGTGTACACACCGTCTTACCGGCGCCAGTGATGGCAGATTGACAGATACCTGAAATTTAACGCTCGGTACAGGTAGGTTATAAATTTGGTTGGTATTATTATATTACAAAAATACGATCAATTTTATTGCTATGAAACTATTGTCCATTGACTAGAGACATCATTAGGCCATTTTGGACTCGTTTTTCTTCTTTTTAGACTATTTTGAGCAGGTTAAAAGTGACAGCTTCGGAAAAATCCGTGAAAATGTCAGTTTTTTGTTCAAAATATCTCAAGTTTTAACTAACTGGCAGGATTGTGCGTTATGAATATAGACGATCATCCATTGGGGTCACGCAAGCCAAATATCTACCCCGTGAGTCTTTTCTTGAAAGTTTTACAGACGTTCAATCTGGTCAGGTCGAATAAAAAATGCTGCCGCTGTAGGCAGATACTTATTTTAAATGATGCCGTCGATGGCAGAAATACCATGAAAGTGGCTTACATTCTGACAGAAAAACAAGGTCAATTTTTTATCAATTCCTCTATTCTTTGCGTCCTTTAAGTCGGAAAAGAAACGTTAAATAATCATTTCTTATATTTTCTCAAAATAGAAAAGTTATAAATGCGGTATGTGCATCGAAAAAGCTTTTTAGCAACACGCAGTTACAAAACAAAATGTGATGATTCAGTACGACCAAATTGCACTATAAATAGAGCAAATAACATGAAGAAATTCATTTTTTTTTTTTCATTTCTTTAAATTTTTATGTTTGAAATCGCGTTGTAGTTTGCCTTTGAATTACATTAACTATGCTAAAATATTAACAACAGTACTAACAGTAAGGTTGACATACAACGCGATTTCAAAAATGAAAACACGTCGTCGTGTTTTTCTAGAACTTGATTATATATGAAAATATTTGAACTGTCGATAATATTCTCCTAATTTCCATGTAACATTAACATACATTGTTGTATGATACACTGATGTCCACAGATCTTGTCAGTTGCAACGTTAACAATCTTCCCTATATTACATCGATTAAGTATATTATCATCTGCAGCATTAACGCCGACTAAGTAAATTTCTGCCTTTATATGTCATGAAGCGATGAACATTACTACTTCAAGAAAATAATGTCATATGCTAGCAAATGAATATCCACTAACTTAAGTTACAGCTGTAATATGCAAATGGCGTTATGTCTTGAAAAGGGAGTAAATTATGCACTGCTAAACTAAAGATACATATGGTATTGTATGCATGTAACTGACAGACACAACAGATCAAGCACACATGCATGAATATAAAAAAATGATTTTTTTCATTTATAGTGCAATTGGGTCGTACTGAATAATCCCATTTTGTATTGTAACTGCTTGTTGCTAAAAAGTTTTTTTCGATGCACATATCGCATTAATAACTTTTCTATCTTGAGAAAAATATTAGAAATGATTATTTAACGTCTCTATTCCGACTAAAAGGACGCAAAGAATAGAGGAATTGATGAAAGATAGACCTTGATTTTCTGTCAGAATGTTAGCCACTTTCATGGTATTTCTGCCATCGACGGCAGCATTTAAAATAAGTATCTGCCTACAACGGCAGCATTTTTTCTTCGACCGAATCAGATTGAACGTCTGTTAAACTTTCAAGAAAAAACTCACGGGGTAGATATTTGGCTTGCGTGACACCAATGGATGAACGTCTATATTAATAACACGAAATTCTACCATTTAGTTAAAACTTGAGATATTTTGAACAAAAAACTGACATTTTCACGGATTTTTCCGAAGCTGTCACTTTTAACCCGCTCAAAATAGTCTAAAAAGAGGAAAAACGAGTCCAAAATTACCTAATAGTATCTTCAGTCAATGGGCAATAGTTTCATAGCAATGAAATAGGTCGTATTTGTGTGATATTATAATACCAACCAAATTTATAACCTACCTGTACCGAGCGTTAAATTTCAGGTATCTGCCATCACTGCAGTGATCTGCCATCACTGGCGCCGGTAATACTGTGTGTTTTTTACAGGTGTGTAATTTAATTTACCGAACTCTTACTCACTAGTAATTTCAATGACTTAAATTGTTGCATTTCGCTTGGTATTTAACTACTCAAGGTAATAAATATTTCTTTCGTTAAAGGTTTTGATATTAACATATGTTTAAAATTTTATGTCTCCGTTCCTTATGATCATAATAGTATATTGTAGCAAATGCAATCCTCCGCCCTGCCACCCCCCCCCTCACCTCGCCCATTCTTCTGTTATATCTGTTATTCCGACAATAAAAATAATACTTACATTAATTAATCTATTCTCGCCTGGTTATCATCAAAATACACTATATTCAGCAGATTTGTCAATTTTCATAAAAAAATCTTGGTCTAATCTAATTATTCAAATTCTCACAGAAATATTTAGTCTTTTTATAATGTCTAAAGAATGTTATTAATGTTCATCAATGGTGTAATAACATGTTCATTTAAAGATATTCCATATGTATAAATAGCCCAAATTTTGCAAACTGGCACATATATAACGATTACAGTCTTAGCATAAATCTACACCTTCACCTTGAAGTAAGTCAAGTATATAACTTTAGAGGTGAAACAATTATATAGTCGCTGTGTGCTGTAAACAACAACAAAAATCCTGCTTTTTTCTTCAGATCACGCGCTTGTTTTTGGGTTTCCAATCTTTCTTGTAAAATTGCAATAACCAGTCAACGATTATGCCTGACATTTTGAAATTTTGTATTTGTGGATTAACCTAATGTTACAACTTTAAATTTACAAACCATTTAAAAAAGAAGGTTAAAAAAGAAGGTTGTGCATTGTGAAAGTTAGTGTAATGAATTATATTCATGAAAGTACGTCTGCCTTATTGCACTTCAGCACAACACGTGTTCAGAGGGGTATACTGGTGTCTCATTAAGTCTACTTGTGAATTTCACCTTTACACTTCCAACTATCTTGTTCGTTCGTTGTTCGTTTGTTTGTTTGTTTGTTTGTTTGTTTGAATTTAGAGGCACATATTGACACATATAACTGACCATACCGCGCCTAACACTATAATTGTTTAAGTTTAAATGGTCGATCAATGTTTTGGAATAAACTGAACCAAAAAGTTCTGTAAGTGAGTTTTCTCGGTAATATATACGACCTAATATATATCACGAAACTGTGCAGGATCATAACATTCAAACACTGAAATATAAATTGTAACCTATACAAAAAGGAGCATCAACGCCCGCTAAAAGATGAGAATGTGTAACTCTAGTGTGTCCTGTTCGACATCTTTGAAGAACCACCTGATCATGACGGTTCACAAGAGATAGAGATGGCGATACTATCGAATTTTTTACTTTGTTAAAGAAGGACTGATTGAATTCATTTTTAAGTTTTTTTTTAATATTGTATTGCATATATATTTGTTATTTGATTCATTCATGCAGTTGGAGTTAACATTAAACATCACCATGGACAAAATCGCTAGGTGTTGAGTGTATGACCTTGGTCTTTAAATGACCTTGGCCTTTAAATGACATTGACCCTAAAAGTGAAATGACGAGTTTCCATGATATCGGTCATACTTGGACAAAACCGCCATGTTTAGTACATATGTAACTTAAGTTAGCTTTTACATTGACCTTTGAATGTCCTTTACCTTCAAGGTCAAATATAAAAATGTATAAAGTTATATCCAATGAAATATTTTTTTAACATTTGTTAACAGTACAATTATTTTATCTCGATATTCTGGTCCATATTCTCAAAAGAATGATAACATAGAATGTCTCTGTTGAATATTATACAGTATAAAATGTTCCGGTTTTGTATTAAGAAGTGTTTTGACCGTTTTGCAACCTTATGAAATATACTAACATATCTATTTCATACAGGCATTTTGGAAGTATTCTTTTTCAGAAGTTTAAACATTTATATTTGCAGCAGATACACAACTGTATATAGCTTTATATACTTTAAATTCTGTATTACTTTTGTTAGTCATACACAAAGCCGATTATTTTAGTTTAGTTTATACAAATTTATCTTAGTTCCACTGAGTGGGAAGCTATAAGCTGATTGAAACACTATCGTATCCGTTCCTGGATTCCAGTAGTAAGCAATGAATGTAAAGTTTCTTGCTCAAGGAAACAACGGCTTGCCCCTGACAGGGTTTGAACTCACGCGGTCAGCAATCCTTAGATTACTAGTCCGACACGCTAACCACTCGGCCTCGTCGCCACTAAGTTATGATTATTTTGACAAAACGATATGTTGGGCATCATAATTCTGCCTGAAGTGACTATAAGTTTTATATTTTATAAATTAAGCAAATTTGCGATAATTTGTTTTTGTTCATGGATTTGGTTTAACTTTAGAAAACACAAATTAATCTTTTACCCCATGAGCATATTGCGAAAAATGGCCATTTTCATTGAAAAGCCTCCTGTAACAAGTTCAAACTGCTATGAAACTAAGAAAAATGCTTCAATGCTGATGAAACTTGGCACAAATGTTGACTAGACCATAGCCTCTGTAACAGCATCCAATCGTAAATTTCATGTTACCATGGCAACGGGGGACGTCTCAAAATTGCCGAAAATCACTATTTTGCATTGTTTTTTTTTTCCATCAAAACTGATTTCAAAGTGCTGCAACTTCTCAATGAATTGAGATAGAGTAAAAGGCTTTTCAGCGTCGGTTACTAGTTACCCTAAGATCGACCTGAGGCCATTTTAAGCCTGTCACATGTCCAAAATTTTCTTGGCGATGAGGGGGACTCCGCCCCCCTTTAAACCCCCAAAACAAAAGGGGGCACATCCCCCTTCTGGCAACCCCCTGATGTAACATTTGGATGGGGGACGGCGCCGAAAAAGTGGTCACTTTTTAACAACATTTCTCAAACGAAAAACAGTGTTTGGGGCCTAAATAGGGCATTTCTTCACTGTTTGAGGCCTCAAAAAGGGGGGGGGGGCAAAAACCCGTCGAAACACGCTTATATAAGGGTAAAGGTTAAATGTCAAGGCGTATAATACAAATATTACCTTCAACGAATAAAGCCTCTATCAACGTGTTTGCATTTGGTAATAATATGATCCCTGCCTAGTCTTCTTCAGTGATAGTTCAAGTAACATAGGAAATTAAATATTTAATTTATTATTAGTAAAATTCTCACAGGAATCTCGTTCATGAAAGTCCCTAGATTTGTTGTGTCAACATATTTGCTTTTGTTGACAGTCCGCCGTCCTCGATCTGTTACATGTACACTGTATATGGAGCAGAATTTGGGTATTTATTCGCTGATTATCTTTCAATTTCTATTTATCTAATTTATATTCGTATTCATTTAATTCTTATCTTAATCATATAAATTTAGATTGATTTAAACAAGTTTAATTGCTACTTTTTAATTGCCAGTTAAACATTTGTATTTTGATACTGCAGAATGTAAGGATCAATTGTTTCGACTTCTTGTTTAAACTACGTGATTAGATATTATGTTGCATACTTCTTCCTTTTCAATTTGAATAATTTAGTTTTAACTAATGATCTTGAACGTCCTTCCTTTTAAGAATAATAAGTGGGTTACATAACAATGAAATAAAATCTGTACGAATGCACCTAGACAAATACGAACTGTAATAACACGAATACGAAATTACATTGAAATTTAAATTTATACATCTGGCCGGGAACCAATATTTCCGTACAAGTCCGTAATTTCTGACGGTGTAACCATTGAAATATTCTCTTCAAAAAATCAACGAAATAGCACTCCACAGTTAATTTCAAGTTTCTGCCGTCAATGTCCTACAAGCAATACATGTACGTCTAATAATTCTGATACCAAACTACACAACCTTGAAAAAGAAAACACATTTTGTTGAGAACATATATGACATAAGATTGCAACTCTACAAAGAAATCATCCCATCTGCAATAGGCAGGCAGTCGAAAAAGTTGCAATTCATTCCGTTGAAGCCCAAAATCTACAGCGGCCCGATCTCCAAAACAACATATTCCGTCCCTCTGGCAAAAAAGACCTGCAAATATACAGACTAAAGGAAATCCGTCTCTGCTTTAGCAACTTCCTTAACATGCAAAATATCTCAAAGAAACTGGTGCTCAACCTTGTAGATTTTCTACTACTGCTAATAGTTTATACCCCCTGTAAAATGACTTGTTCTTACCGTGCATGCTGTTTAAAAGCAATGTTTACAAAAAATGGCGGCCTTGACATCTATAATCAACAGCATGTGATTTCTGGCCATGTTTTCGAATTTGCAAGTGATCATATTAGATATCACAAAAACATGAAAAACAAATTTCATGCTGAAAATGCACTTTAAAGACAAACAGTCATTTAACTTTTTTCCCTTATATAGACTATTTTGACGGCTTTTTGCCCCCCCCCCCCCCCTCCTTTTTGAGACCTCAAATAGTGAAAAATGCCCTATTTAGGCCCCAACACTGTCTTTCATTTGAGAAATGTTGTTTAAAAATTGACCACTTTTCGACGCGCCCCCTAAAAAAATAGTACATCAGGGGGGTTGCCAGAAGGGGGATGTGCCCCCTTCTGTTTGGGGGGTTTGAAGGTGGCGGTAGGTCGATCTCAGGGTAACTAGTAACCGAAGCTGAAAAGCCTTTTACTCTATCTTAATTCATTGAGAAGTTGCAGCACTTTGAAATCAGTTTTGATGGGAAAAACAATGCAAAATAGTGATTTTGAGACGTTCCCCGTTGCTGTGGTAACAGAAAATTTACGAGTTATGCTGTTACAGAGGCCATGGTCCAGTCAACAAGTGTGCCAAGTTTCATCAGTATTGAAGCGTTTTTTTTATAGTTTTATAGCAGTTTGAACTTGTAACAGGAGGCTTTTCAATGAAAACTGCCATTTTTCACAATATGCTCATGGGGTAAAAGGTTAATCCAGAATATTACTATATCCAAGAAATCCTCCCTGGCCATTCGAAGCTGTGTCTTATATTACTGTGGTGTGCTACCTATAAACTTGGATTAAATTGCCAAGTATCATTGTATCCTCACACCTTGTGCTCACGGAAAATACCGAAGCCATACATGAGTTATCTCCCGTCACTAAGATTTTGCGCTAGAATTTTACAGCTAGGACACAGAAAGCAAATATTAATCACGTGGTTTCTAGTTTTTATTTGTTCTGCTGTTCTTCTTATTGAAATGAGTCAGTTTTATTTCGCGTAAGGTTGTTTAATGTTAATAATTTCATAAAGTTAGAGTATGGATAATTATCTATAACAACAATTCTTATAGCCTCTACATACAAATTTATTTTTAGTGTGAATCGAATGAGAATAAGTGTTGCACAAATACATTTGTAAGAAACAAGTTCGAGAATACTAGTACACACTTTCTTTTAAATAAGTAGAAATAGCACATGTTTAAAACAAAAAGTAATTTAATGGTATCTAATATTAAATTAAACGAATTAAGATGAAGTACTGGCAATGGCTTTAGAATATTTCAACTTACTATAAACATAGTAAGAAAGAATAAATAAATATTTAGGTAAAGAACTTTGATTTACTCACAGATGAATCAAATTTGTAGGAATATGATTTGAACTTAAGCAAATGAAAATAAAGTCAAGTGAATAAATACCCTAATTCTGCTCCATATATATCTTTTATTTTTGTGACCACGACCTCCAGGAAAACAGAATAGAAATTGTTCAAAATGAAAAGGAAGACAACTCTACATAAACGAACTTATTTCTTTCGCTCTAAGTTATCTCAGAAGTAAGCGAAACGTGTTAATGACCCTGTAAATGTACTTACAGGTATACAAATACTCGTATATGAACCGAAAGTGTGAATGTGGTTTCACTTAAATTTAGAAAATCCTTATCAAACTATTGGACTATATTTAAATTGGTTAGTGATATAAACACTAACTCAACCAGACGTATGACAGTGTTTTAAAATCGTTGTATTTTGGTGAATTGTGTCTAATATGTTGATAAACAAAAATTGTGCTGGTATTGTTTGGCAATATTGATCTGGGATATTTGAATATTCAATTACCTTTTGTCGGTAATTATCGGACTCCGAAGTTTGTTTTTTCTTATTTTGAGGTTGTTGGTTCGAAACTTAATTATTTTTTTTCTTTTTAGTTTGCGAAACTTAAAGCTGCGGTCTCACTTACTCCCGGCAGAGCCCAGGACCATCCCGGTAAGTTACCGTGATGATCTGGGACGATCCGGGGTGAAATTATTGTTGCGGTCACACTTACCCCGGCAGCACTACAGTAGTTCCCAACTAACCACCCAGGATGCGCTCTGGATCATCCAGACAGAGCCCAGGTGAAGCTACGGTTCATGCCGGTGCTTCCCCAGTCGTCCCCGGATGACGCCGGAAGAGCCCCGGTTGAACCAGGCAGAGCCCCGGTCGATCCAAGCATTGCCCCGGCGGAGCCCAGGACAATCCAGGCAGAGCCCCGGTAGAACCATTAGGCTATCGGGCAGTTATTATGGATTAATTAAGGTATCTAGAACTATAATATCATTAAAACTAAAATCATAAATCGTGATAAATTACGGAAAGTAACGAAAAATCTCTCGAAAGTGAATCAGTGTAAGGTCAGTATTGCCAAACAGTAAACACAAATAGTACAAATAGAGTTATCTTATGTTTATAGATGGATAATGACTAAAAGAATGAATCATTTCAATACGAAGCTTAAACAGAATACATCTTGTAAGATCTTATGGATTTTAAGTATAACAAGCATCGGGGGAAAACTTTATCTTGTAGCTACACAATAACGCCTGTAACTGGAACATTTGGAGGGAAAGTTGATGGAATAAGAATTAACAATATTGACAAGGAATGTGCTGATAAACTGAAACAAGATGCATTTATGTATCGATTTCTACACTACTTTATCCCAACCAAGATTTACAATGGCAAGATCAGGTACGTTTCACGGAGCTTTTAGGAACTCCTTTCACAGAAACATCGTCAATAAACCGTAAAAAAATATGAGAAGATTCCGGACCCTCGATTGGGACTCTTTTCTAATGATCCCGTGGAAGGAATTACGTCGATGGCAATGGAAGGTTGGCACGTGGATGGAAATGTTGCGAAAACTCCATTCATGTTTACAATAATATACTGTATAAGCAATAACATGAAAGGACCAAAATAAGTGGTGCTATTAAAATAAGTGTATGATATGCTTATTAACGCTAAAGAATATTTTCTTTGTAAGTGGTCATAATGCAAGTATGATCCGCCCAATATTTTATAAAGATCAACATAGAAACGATGCTACAATTATGCTGGCACTCGGTAAATTATCTGGACAATATTTGGAGGAAATGACAGACGGTACTAAACGCAAAAAGTCCATAGAAGAAATAAAAGCTATGAAAACCTTTCTTGAAGTTCAAATAAGATATATGCACACCAGTATTTACCAGGAGGCATGCAAGAATATGCCAGAAAACATTGTAAGCGTATAAATGAACATGCCGACCGTAGAAAGTAACGACAAAGAGTAACCTATCATATCATTTATTGTGTTCCACATTCGTTAATTGCCTAAAGTCCTACAGGTCTGGACTTAATAACTATAATAGTACTAATTACAAAAAACAAGAACAAAATAAAAGCAAACACAGAAAGATGGTTCATGTAATTTGTAAATGGGAAACTTTAAGGACACACAAGTTAAAAAAGCTTCTTTGAAATATAAATAACTGCATTTCTGGGTCTTTAAGAAAATTTCGAACATGTAACAAACTTTAAAACTCCAAATTTTACATTTTCCACATAAATAGATAGTAGAAAATTGCTACAGCTATCATATGATCTGCTGTTAGGCCTCACGCTTACATGTAATATTGTACACAAAAGACTGCAAAATAAATTCCAATCAAAATATCAAGTTATGAATACAACATACAAGGTTAAAAAAATGACTTACATGTACTTACAATGTGTTCTGCAAATTATTTAGAAAACGTGATTGGTGGTTGCCATTTATCATAAAGAAAGATCGGTTTAGTGTACAAAATCTTTCAAATCAAATCAAATCAATCATTATAATTGTTTTTCAGAATACAGCTTTCAAAAAAGCTTTCTTCAAGCCAATAGTTGCACTTTTTGTTCTCTTTTTCACAAGCACGCTGTACACGATCTTCCATAGAGCAGCAGTGTGCCGGGTGGTAGTTCTTAACAAACAACCGTTTCTGTCTCAGGTTTACCGTTTTCTTTTCACGGATAACATAATAGTTTCTGTAGACCATCAACTCAATTTTGAAACACTGCGCCTCGCGCTGCGGTATATCGTCCAAATTAACTACCATTCCATTTGCCCCACCATACTTTACTACATCCCCTAGTCTCACCTCACCCCTAACATGTACTTCTGTCTGGCCAGTACAAAGGGAGCTTTTATGTTTCGTTTTTGTTTCTCCTATGTTTTCTGCATTTGCGTTGCTATTTTCAAGCTCATTTTCTTGTAAGGCAAATGTTTGTTTCTTTCAAATCAAATCAAATGTTTTTCAGAATACAGCTTTCAAAAAAGCTTTCTTCAAGCCAATATTTGCACTTTTTGTTCTCTTTTTCACAAGCACGCTGTACACGATCACTCATAGAGCAACAGTGTGCCGGATGGTAGTTCTTAACAAACAACCGTTTCTGTCTTAGGTTTACCGTTTTCTTTTCACGGATAACATAATAGTTTCTGTAGACCATCAACTCCATTTCGAACTCCTGCGCATCGCATTGCGTTATGTCGTCCAAATAAACTACGATTCCATTTGTCCCACCATATTTTACAACATCCCCAAGTCACCTCTTCCCTAACTCGTACTTCCGTACAAAGTAAACTTTTTTATGTTTCTTTTTTGTTTCTCCTATCTTTTCTGTGTTATCTGCATTTGTGTTGCTATTTTCAAGCTCATTTTCTTATTTAACCAAAGCCCAGAAACATAGATGATCAGATCTATTTGACACTGCATTCCAATTTGTCTCCCTGACTCTTTGTACCATCTGATGGCTTGGATAACTGTTCAAATGTCTACAATCCACCATCTTAAGCTTTTTTGACGCTTTATTCAGATCAACGCGAATTAACTCCTCCATGACGTGCCTTTTGCGAAATATATTCAGACTTTTTAAGCCATAATGTACACATCGTATTTTCCCGATAGTGGAGTCTTCGTTTTCTTCATGCACTTCGGTAATTATAGCAAAATGTTGAAAGCCAAAATAGTTAAATGTGATCATACTTCCTACATTCAGGTCTGATAATTTTAGCACAGGAATCTTTTCACATTCATATGGAGACATCAACGCTCTCCTTACTTTTCCTATGCCCCACTGCATTGCCAAGGAAAGCAATACAATAACGAGTAACAGAGGGATTCCAACAGGTAATGGAGTGATCAATGGCATCAGAAAATGGACAAGAATATATGATATCCCTGATGTTGCAATGAAGGCACCGAAATGTGTCCATAATTGGATGACTTCTCTTTTGAAACATGTTTTGCAAAGTTCACATCTTTTATATTTTGAGAACAGTTTTATCGTTATGACTATACAGTAAATTAGGTACACCAATGCAGTAAATCCAAGAACAATGCCTGGTAGACAATTCGTATTAAATTTGGTTGCAATTTCATCTGCCGAGTTATATAAAAACCTCTTTATAAAGCGAGCTATTTTGCATCCAACACCTGCGCCTTTGGTTAAGATCTTAGCGATTGTTTTTCGAATACTTTTGACAGCAAAGCTTTCTTCTGCACCTACCACACACCATGAAGCGAAATGCTCGCAGTTACGAGTAAATACATTGTATGATCTAAATTTTCTATAACGACGTTTCTTGGAATTTTGCCAATTTTTCGGCAACATCGATTCTGCTCTTTTCACGATGTCGTCAGCTTCATACCGAGGGTGTAAGTATTCAACAATGTATATTTCATCGTGTGCAAGATCGAATGTCTCTGACGTTTCATGGATATTTATTTCCTTGCCAACTTTGGTAAAATGAATTAAGACCAACTCTACTTTTTGATCATCTGCTTTGATGATTTGTTTTATAATTGCATGGTGATTGTATAGTTTCCGAAGTTTTTTCCCAAAATTGAAGGTGAAATAGTGTCCGGGAAGTCTTATATGTTGACCTCTTTTGAAGGAACACGCATTATCAACTCTTTTCTTAGTGCAACAATTTGCACAGCTCTTGTCTTTACTTTGATCTTCATTATTATTATCTGTCTGTGGTATTTCATCAATGGCTGCTTCAATATCTTGGACACCAACGTCCTTTGGTACAGCTTTCGTGTAATCAGGAAGTGTTTGAGATAGCTCGTGTTTGTATATTTCTCTAGTTTCTTCAAAAACAGCGCCTATATCGTCGTCATCTACATCGATATTTTGATCATCGTCGGAGTCGGAATTAGTCTCTGGCGCTTGTAAGTCTTCGTAAAATTTATCAACCAAACAGTTGTCATCGTCTGGTGAAGAAGCTATATAACAGCTAGATGAATCAGTTTTCACTGCTTGTGTTGTACCACTAAAGAACTCAGTTGTTTCGGACGCAGAGTTTAACTCGCAGTCAGTAAGGGTACTAACAATTGATACTGTGTCAAATTCAAAATTGCCACTTTCAGCAAAAGTGCTGGATCTTCTGTTTAATGTCTTTGATGACATTACTTTCTTCCTGAATATAAGAAACAAAATTGTATGTTAACTAAGTATATATATATATATCATTCTGCGTATAAATAACATTTAATAATTAACGAATATTTTCTACATGCTTGTGTATTTCTTACCTTAATCAGCCCGGTTTTTGTCATAATGTTTATTAATTGATATGAAGAGAAGATTTTTTCTTTCATTTTATACCATTCCCAGTTTTCATTGATTATTTGAGAGAGTTTATGGTTCTTTTTTACGAATCACTATCATTATTTTATCTTTCATGTACCAATACGCACTTTCATTTTTTTTTCTCAACAACATAAATGACTTATATCAACAGCATATAAATAAAAAAATGAAATAAATCAACTTGCGAACATGAAATGGAAGAATATGCAAAAGATGTGCAATTGAGATGGAAGAATATGCAACGAATGTACACTTGAAATGAAATAACCAAAGATAAAATTGTGCAATTCTCGAAAAATATATTTAGCCAAAAAACCTCAAAAGCTGGTTTATTTTTAGAGAAGATATCGGAAATTCCCCATGAAATAACCTATAGACTTGTGATCGTCACGTGGCATGCTCGAGGCAGAACGTTTAGTGCATAACAAATATATGAACTGTTTTGTAAACGTGAGTATTTTTCTGTCTTATGTAAAAGAAAGTATTTTAAATTATTTAAGCGCATAATTAAAATCAGTTTATCTTCGACAAGTGACAAGAAAGGTAACATAAAATCTGTTTTAAATAATAAGAAAATATTCTTACTTGTCTTCAAACTTTTAACTGTGATAAGTGTTATCAACGTCCAGGTAACCTAGGCGAAAGAATGCAAAAGGTAATGAAAAATTTGGCAATGATAAAATCCACATTTATTTGCTGTAGTCTAAACTTAGAAATGAAAGTTTCGAGGTGTATTATTTCACAGGTAAAATGAATCAAGTGTGTAATTTATTTTACTGAATTCTTACTCACAATTAATAGCGAAAACAACAACAAATTTTAAACATTTCGCTTGGTATTTATATTACATAACCAATCTTCTTTTGTTAAAGGTTTAGATATTGAACAAGTTATATTAAAGCGTATGTTTAAAATGTTGTGCCTCCGTGCCTGCTTATCATAATCAAATGGAATCCTCCACCCCCCCCCATTATTCTGTTATATGGGTCTGTTATTCCGACAATAAAATTAATACTTACATTAATTTATTTATTCTCGCCTGGTTATCATCAAATACACTATAATCAGCAGATTGTCAATTTTCATAAAAAATCTTGGTCAAACCTAATTATTCAAATTCTTACAGAAATATTTAGTCTTTTTATAATGTCTAAAGAATGTTATTAATGTTCATCAATGGTGTAATTACATGTACATGTAAGAATATTCCATATGTATAAATAGCCAAATTTTGCAAACTGGCACATATATAACGATTCCAGTCTTAGCACAAATCTGCACCTTTTAGTAGATAAATACACCATAACATTAATGCTTGAAGTAGATCAAGTATACAAATCTTAATGCTATGCTTTAGAGGTTATTACATAATATGAAACAAAGTCGCTGTGTGTGCTGAGTAAATCTGTAAACCACAAAAATCCTGCATATATTTTAAGAAATTCATCATCGATCACGCGCTTGTTTTTGGGTTTCCAATCTTTCTTGTCATATTGCAATAACCAGATAACGATTATGCCTGAATTTTGGAATTTTGTATTTGTGGATTAACCTAATGTAACAACTTTAAATTTACAAACTCTTTAAATAAGAAGGTTAAAAAAAAAGAAGGTTGGGCATTGTGAAATTTTATTCATCTATTTGTCTTATTTGCAGTTAGTGTAATAAACTGTATTCATTAAAGTGCGTCTGCCTTATTAATCTTCAGCACAATAGATTTTTAAAGAAGTATACTGGTGTCATGAAATAAACCAACATTAAGTCTACTTGTGCAAAATGTATTGCATATACATTTTTTATTATATATATATATATATATATATATATATATATATATATATATATATATATATATATATATATATATATATATATATATATATATATATATATATATATATATATATATATATATATATATATATACAAACACATTCCTCCATTTACGGGGCATCGGTCTATTTGAGACCATACTTATGGGGTGTATATTTAATGTGGGGCATACATAAGGCCTCGCAACTCTGGCATGTTTAAAACGATGTATGGGGGCGTAGGCTACCCTTCTAACATAGTGCCCGTAGGCCGGTTTTAGTAGTAAATGATATATGTCCCACAAATGTATATATTTTTAATGGGGTTTTCTGTTATTGGTCAATATGTTTTCACCTATGGTAAAATCAAATATATAGTTTATATATATAACTAAGTACCCCTTAGTTCTATTGTATGGAAATGTTCATTATAGGCCTATATAGTGGCGTATATAAAAACTGACTGCATGAAATAATGCCACTCAACTCGGTCTTATATATGGGCCCCGTAAGTGAAGATATGTGTGAATATATATATATATATATATAATATATATATATATAAATTTGGAGAAAATAAACGTTCATACAGTGCTAAAGTATAAATACCCAAGTACTTTCGGCGTATTATGCCTTCATCAGGGGTGTATTACATGTATAATGTGCACACAATCGAGCACAAAATCTCAATACGTGTGTAGTGTATAGTATCAAAAATTGAATCAATTTGAGTATGAAAAATTGAATCAAATAAAAAAAAAAATATATATATATATATATATACACAAGTAACAGGTAATCCGAAACTGCATAAAACAGGGGTGCCATTGAGAACAATAGTAAATGGGAGAAATCATCCTACGGAGAAAATGGCAGAAATAGTAGAAATGGAGCTACGCGCCCATGTGACATCAGTTCCTTCATATATTAAAGACACCACTGATTTCTTAAGAAAATTAGAGAATATTAAACAACCACTTCCGGCAGGAACAATTCTTTTCTGTTTAGACGTGAAAGCCCTGTACCCAAGTGTCCCACGGGCAGAGGCACGAGATGCGGTTGCACGTGCATTAAATCAACGTGCCAACCCTAATATACCCACAGAAGATGTTCTTAATATGATGGACACTGTCCTTGAAAATAACACTATTTCATTTGATGGAAGAAAATTCACGCAGACAGAAGGAGCAGCGATTGGCTCACGATTAGGGATGAATTACGCATCTACATATCTTGGATCATGGGAATCACAGCTGATGACGATAACAGATAAACTTCCGCTTGAGTATTTCAGGTATGTTGATGACGTTTGGGGCCTTTGGACTCACGGTATCGAGTCGTTAAAAGCATTCCATGAGCTTGAGAATAACCTTCATCCAAGAATAAAATTAGAATTAAGATATTCTACTGAAAAACTTGAGTTTCTCGACGTAATGACGAAGATTCAGAATGGCATTTTAATAACAGACCTATACACTAAACCCACAGATAAACACCTGTATTTGCATAAAAATTCCTCTCATCCGGAATCGACAAAAAAATCAATACCATATGGACTTGCCCTCCGTGCTAAGCGAATATGTACTAATGAACCGACTTACAAACAACATAGAGAAAATATTAAAACTCAGTTACAGAAACGAGGCTATGAAGATCGACATATTGAAACAGAATTAAATAAAGTAGATAGTAAAAAAAGAAGTGACTTAATATATTATAATGAAGATAAAGAAAACACTGAAAGAATCCCCTTGGTATTGACATTTTCCAGAGCGCTCCCGAATGTAGGACAAATAGTACGAAAACACCTACCTGAATTACACACCTCAGATAGAATGAAGGAAATATTCCCGAATCCACCAATTGCAGCATTTAGAAGAGATAATAATCTACAAGACATTCTCGTTCATAAGAAACACAATAAACTATTTTTTCAACAGCCGAATTCCTGTGCTCCTTGCAGATCCAAAAAGTGTGCGATTTGTCCGTACGTTATTGAAGCAGACACATTCATTGGTGTGAACGGGGCCTCGTATAAGGTTCGAAATCAGATCACGTGCAAATCTACGAATGTTGTGTATGCAGTTTATTGTAAGCGTTGCGAACGTTACATTTATGTTGGAGAAACAGGGGATACGTTGTACCAAAGACACCTTCTTAATTTATCCAGAATACGAACCAAATACAACGATCCGTTAGCGGCGCATTTTTATACGAACGACCACACAGTAAATGATTTTTCAATAATGGGGCTGGAAAAGCTATACGGGAATGAACAATACAGAAAAACAATAGAAAATTTGTGGAAAAATAAATTAAGAACCTATAGACCGTATGGAGTTAATACAAAAGAATAACGCGGCAGACGGCAACCAACGCCACGGCGGGCGTCGTTCATTGACGTTACGTCACTTCCATTGTTTTGTTGATATATTTGTATGTGAAATAAATGCTGCTGAAGAAGGCCGCAAGGCCGAAAGCTACGGCAATTTTAAATTAGCGTTTTTGCTTATATACGGCAAGTTAGAGATTTTACTTATATATATATATATATATATATATATATATATATATATATATATATATATATATATATATATATATATATATATATATATATATATATATATATACTTTTTTTTTTTTATTTATTTGATTCATTATAGTAGTTGGACTTAACATTAAACATCACCAAGGACAAAAGTGTTGAGTGTTGAATGTTGAGTGTATGACCATGGCCTTTTAATGACCTTGATCCTGAAAATGAAATAAACGAGTTTCCATGATAATGGTCATACTTGGACAAACCGCCATGCTTAGTACATTTGTGACTAAAGTTAGCTTTGCCATTGACCTTTAAAAGTCCTTTACCTTCAAGGTCAAATATGAAAAAGTATAAAGTTCTATCTAATGAAATATTTTTTATAACATTTGTTAACAGTATAATTATCTTATCTTCATATTCCTGTCCATATTCTCAAAAGAATGTCTCTGTTGAATATTATACAGAATAAAATGTTCCGGAACAAATATTATGTTTCTATATTATGAAGGATTTAACCGTTTTGCAATGAGTTTGTACAGGCGCCATTCGCTCGTTAGGAAATAAACTAACATATATCTCTTTCATACAGCCATTTTGGAAGTATTCTTTTTCAGAATGTTAAACATTTATATTTGCAGGAGATATATAGCTTTATTTACTTTGAATCTGTATAACTTTTGTTAGTCGTGCACGAAGCTGATTAATATGTTGGGCATTATAATTCTGCCTGAAGTGACTATAATTTTAATATCTTATAAATTTATCAAATTTGCTGGTCCTTCGATCGGGATCATTGATTTCAACACTTTTAAGTGTTGAAATTTGAGTACCGATCAAGCCGGTGATAGGGGGCGTAAGGGATGTTGCAATTATTCATAAGTCCCCATGCACAGACTCAATCAAACCGAGTCTGCAATTTTCATGTACATGTACATTTTGTTGTGATTGGAGAACACAACATTCAGAGCTGTCAAGGTGTATAATACAAATATTACCTTTAACGAAAAAAGCCTCTATCGACGTGTTTGCATTTGGTAATAATATGATCCCTACTTTTGGCGGCTCTAGTCTACTTCAGTGATAGTTCAAGTAACATAGGACATTAAATTTTTAATTTATTATTATATCATGAGGATGCGACAGTTTACTAGATTTGTTGTGCCAGCATATTTGCTTTTGTTGACAGTCCGCCCTCCTTGATCTGTAAAAGGAGTGTCAGACATGAACACTGTATCTTTCTTTTTATCTTTATTTTCTAATTTTTATTTTCATTTCTCCCCAAGTTTTGTAGAAAACAGAATAGAAGTTGTTCAAAGAAACGAAATAAACACAAAATGAAAAGGAAGACAACTCTCTTTCGCTCAGAGTTATCTCAGCAGTGACCTGAATAATAATGACATGTAAATGTACTTATACCGTACGCATAGGTACACATATATACTCGTATATGAAGCGAAATGAAATACCTCCGGTGTGAATGTAATTTCACTTAAATTTAGAAAATCCTTATCAAACTACTGGACTATATCTAAATTGGCTAGTGATATATACACTAACTGAATCAGACAGTGTTTTAAAATCGTATTTCGGTGAATAATTGTGCCTGATATGTTGATAAATAATCGTGCTGGTATTGTTTGGCAATATTGATCTGGGATATTTGAATATTCAATTATCTTTTGTCGGTAATTATCGGACTCCGAAGTAAATTTGTTCTTATTTTGAGGTTGTAGGTTCGAAACTTAATGATTTTTTTTCTTTTTAGATTGCAAAACTTTACCACTATGCTGTCGTTGTTGTTTTTGCATGCACCTATTGTACGACTGTACATATTGAAATTATTGCTTATCCTGCTGTAATGTTAAACCGTTGCAACGTTTTAACTTAAAGTATAAACACGCCCGTTAACTGGTTGCAAGTAGATCAGGTGGTTGCCGGTAGAAGAATTGGTATTTTTTCTTAATTGTAGACTGCTGCACAATATATAATAGAAAATTATGTCTATAAAAAAAGAAGAACATATCTTGGTAGTCCGGTTTAAAACTGACATTTTTATAGTAAGTTCTATCGTACTTGATTATAAGGGTGATTTTATCTGTCAATGAAACATAAAACCTGTTAGGTCGTTAATTGCAAATTTTACTTCTGTGCATATTAAATAACTGTTAACAAATATGATAATGATTTTAAGACCCGTTTTGTGCAGTAGAGTAGCTTAAAAGATACCTAGAAAAAATGTTTGTGGAGGATTTTAACTTGCAACTTTGCGTTTGCTATGCCTCGTACTGGCCACTAGGCTATCGGGCAGTAATTATGGATAAATTAAGGTATCCAGAACTATAATATCTATAAATCGTGATAAATTACGGAAAGTAACGAAAAATCTCTCGAAAGTGAATCAGTGTAAGGTCAGTATTGCCAAACAATAAACACAAATGGTACAAATAGAGTTATCTTATGTTTACATAGATGGATATTGACTAAAATAATGAATCATTTCAATATGAATCGTAAACAGAATACATATTTTAAGATCTTATGGATTTTAAGTATAACAAGCATCGGAAAAACTTTATCATGTAATTACACGATGACACCTGTAACTGGAACATTTGGAGGGAAAGTTGATGGAATAAGAATTAACAATATTGACAAGGAATGTGCTGATAAACTGAAACAAGATGCATTTATGTATCGATTTCTACTTTATCCCAACCAAGATTTACAATGGCAAGATCAGGTGCGTTTCACGGAGCTTTTAGGAACTCCTTTCACAGAAACATCGTCAATAAACCGTAAAAAACATGAGAAGATTCCGGACCCTCGATTGGGACTCTTTTCCAATGATCCCTTGGAAGGAATTACGTCAGTGGGAGTGGAAGGTTGGCACGTGGATGGAAATGTTGCGGAAACTCCACACATGTTTACAATAATATACTGTATAAGCAATAACAAAAACGGACCAACATTAGTGGTGCCATTAAAAGAAGTGGTCGACATGCTTAGTAACGAGGAGAAAGACAAGCTGGAGAATATTTTCTTTGTAAGTGGTCATAATTCTAGTATCATACATCCTCTATTGTATAAAGATCAACATAGAAATGATGATACAATTATGCTGGCACTCGGTAAATTATCTGGACAATATTTGGAGGAAATGACAGACGGTACTAAACGCGAAATGTCAATAGAAGAAACAAAAGCTGTACAGGACCTTCTTGAAGTTAAGGTATTAAGTTCAAATAAGATATATTCACATCAGTATTTACCAGGAGACATGCTAATGTTATATAACCCCTCTGTGGCGCATATTGCAGGTCCCGGCTCTCAAACACCGAGAGAAATAAATGGACTTAGGCTTATGAGTCGTACCACTGTCCTAGGTAAAGAAAAGCCAACCAAAGTTTCAAATATTCAGTATGAATGTTCAATGTTACCACCTTTTGATTCCGGTTATTGTTTATTTTCTCTAAAAGATTCCGTGTTCTACCCAAAGATCGGTGAATTTGATTCGCAAGAAAAGGCCAGAAAACATTGTAAGCGTATAAATGAAAATGCCGACCTCGCAATCCTGCCCACTGTAGAATGGAATGACAAAGTGAAACCAATCATATCATGTACTGGTGTTCCACATTGGTTAAATGCTAAAAATCCTTCAGATCAGGACGTATATTGGGAAGGAATAGACTCTAAAAGTGAGTTTCTACTTTGGGATGTTAGTAGTAAACAACCTAACGACTGTGATATGATAGAAGATTGTGTAATAGTAGGACCTCATGGACATTGGTTTGATGTACCATGTAGCGGACCGAAAACAAAACCTGGTTCAGACCCAGGTCCGGTAATGACTTGGGAAAATGGTGAACGGAAAATGTTTAACATTTATCCGTTGTGTGGTGTTAAAATGAAATATTTAAGAAAAACAGATTCTGTTAAAATGGTTTAAAAAGTGACATTATCAATGTATTTATCTATTCTACATAAATAATTGCGAAATACTGTACGGCATGTTGAGGTCATTCCGAGTTTAAAGTGAGGTCAAATATTAGTTCCATATGAACATTAAAATGTCTTCATTTTTCTAAATTTTTAAAGTGTTTTAGTGTGTGATAAAGCAAAAGCAGACGTTAAAACAGCCGCCTTATTACCGTATTTTGTGAAGCAATGCAGGCTACAATGTACATAGTTTATGTTGGCGACTGGGTTAAAATGTGTGTCATAGAGATAAAAATATGGCGTTATCTTTATTTTGACAATAGTCTAATTTTTATACAATATTAACCCTTACCACGTTATATATCTTAAATGGACTTGCCCATCTTTCATTATAAACAAAACCATTCATCATTTAAGGGAATTATTCGCTGAATAGCGAGTTAAAGCGCAGACAATGATCAGACGACACGGGTCGCTTGGGTAGAACCTGTTGCGGTCAGCAGGCTAAACATCTTTATAGTTTCAGTGGTTCACTTATATTCTTAGTACAAAGCGTATAATTAAATAAAGCCTCGGCATATGTTATAATAACTGAAAATGAATCTTGTCACACAGACTAGATGGAATAATTTCATTCTAACTGATCTATAAATGAGCATGTTAACAAAAAGAAAATTTACTAAAAAACCCATAGTAAGGTATTAACCATAAATATTAGACTAGAATCTGAAGTTCTTGTCTTTGCATAGAGAGGCATGAGTGAAACTACTGTTAAAATGAACTGATACATGATTCAATGGTATGTCCATACTTTTTGATATAGAACAAAACTCGACACATTATAACAATGACCTTGACCATCGTTGTTTCCTAGTAGCATTAAGCCCTAACTTTATAACAATGACCTTGACCATCGTTGTTTCCTTGTAGCATTAAACCCAAACTTTATAACAATGACCTTGACCATCGTTGTTTCCTTGTAGCATTAAGCCCTAACTTTATATCAATGACATTGACCATTGTTGTTTCCTAGAAGCATTAAGCCCAAACTTTATAACAATGACCTTGACCATTGTTGTTCCCTAGTAGCATTAAGCCCTAACTTTATAGCAATGACCTTGACCATCGTTGTTTCCAAGTATCATTTAGCCCTAACTTTATAGCAATGACCTTGACCATTGTTTCCTAGAAGCATTAAGCCCTAACTTTATAACAATGGCCTTGACCACCATTGTTTCCTAGTAGCACTAAGCTCTAACTTCAGAGCAATGACCTTGACCATCATTGTTAACTAGTAGCATTAAGCCCTAACTTTATAACAATGACCTTGACCATTGTTTCCTAGAAGCATTAAGCCCTAACTTTATAACAATGACCTTGACCATTGTTGTTTCCTAGAAGCATTAAGCCCAAACTTTATAACAATGACCTTGACCATTGTTGTTTCCTAGTAGCATTAAGCCCTAACTTTATAGCAATGACCTTGACCATCGTTGTTTCCAAGTATCATTTAGCCCTAACTTTATAGCAATGACCTTGACCATTGTTTCCTAGAAGCATTAAGCCCTAACTTTATAGCAATGACCTTGACCATCGTTGTTTCCAAGTATCATTTAGCCCTAACTTTATAGCAATGACCTTGACCATTGTTTCCTAGTAGCATTAAGCCCTAACTTTATAACAATGACCTTGACCATTGTTGTTCCCTAGTAGCATTAAGCCCTAACTTTATAACAATGACCTTGACCATTGTTGTTCCCTAGCAGCATTAAGCCCTAACTTTATAACAATGGCCTTGACCACCATTGTTTCCTAGTAGCATTAAGCCCTAACTTTTTATCAATGACATTGACCATTGTTGTTTCCTAAAAGCATTAAGCCCTAACTTTATAACAATGACCTTGACCATTGTTTCCTAGTAGCATTAAGCCCTAACTTTATAGCAATGACCTTGACCATTGTTTCCTAGTAGCATTAAGCCCTAACTTTATAACAATGACCTTGACCATCATTGTTTCCTAGTAGCATTAAGCCCTAACTTTATAACAATGACCTTGACCATTGTTGTTTCCTAGTAGCATTAAGCCCTAACTTTATAACAATGACCTTGACCACCATTGTTTCCTAGTAGCATTAAGCCCTAACTTTATATCAATGACATTGACCATTGTTGTTTCCTAAAAGCATTAAGCCCAAACTTTATAACAATGACCTTGACCATTGTTTCCTAGAAGCATTAAGCCCTAACTTTATAACAATGACCTTGACCATCATTGTTTCCTAGAATCAATTAAGCCCTAACTTTATAACAATGACCTTGACCATTGTTGTTCCCTAGTAGCATTAAGCCCTAACTTTATAACAATGACCTTGACCATTGTTGTTCCCTAGCAGCATTAAGCCCTAACTTTATAACAATGGCCTTGACCACCATTGTTTCCTAGTAGCATTAAGCCCTAACTTTATAACAATGACCTTGACCATTGTTGTTTCTTAGTAGCATTAAGCCCTAACTTAATAGAAATGACCTTGACCATCGTTGTTTCCTAGTAGCATTAAGCCAATGACCTTGACCATCGTTGTTTCCTAGTAACATTAAGTCATAACTTTATAGCAATGACCTTGACCATTGTTGTTTCCTAGTATCATTAAGCCCTTACTTTATAACAATGACCTTGACCATCGTTGTTTCCTAGTAGCATTTAGCCCTTACTTTATAGAGATGACCTTGACTGACCATCATTGTTTCCTAGTAGCATTAAGCCCTAACTTTATAACAATGACCTTGACTGACCATCATTGTTTCCTAGTAGCATTAAGCCCTAACTTGATAACAATGACATTGACCATTGGTGTTTCCCAGAAGCATTAAGCCCTTACTTTATAACATTGACCTTGACCATCATTGTTTCCTAGAAGCATTAAGCCATAACTTAATAACAATGAACTTGACCATTGTTGCTGTATTCAATTATGAGTATACTGGGAATTTAATCTGGGAGAAATCATCTTACAAAAGGATGCAAGAAAATGAGAAGAAAGATTTTTGTTCAATGACATTTTTTATTTTTGACATTTTGTATTTGACAATACTTACTGGTAACAATACACATGAGGGGAGACAGGGGGCATTTAGAGAACATATATTTTCTATAGTAATAATAGTTAAACAAAGGTTTATAATCAGTATATTGTGTAAAATTCCTTAAATCATAAAACATCAAGATAAAATAGATGCACATTTCTTTATAAAATAATGTACAAAATGTAAAAACAAAGATCTGGGCTTATTAAAAACATACATTTTGCATATTTATAAAATACTTCAGTGTTTAAACTTGGAACAATTATTATGTATATGTAGTATGAATTGTAAGTCATCAAAAATGTTATAGAAATTAAATGCTCAGAGAGTGCAGGACTAGACTTATAAAATTAATACACTCCTTACATTACCTATTATTACACTAAAATCTTTTTTTCCCAATACAATACAGAGGCAGTATTTTATAATTTGCAAGAATTACTATTGATACTTTGATTGAAGAACACTGTCTTAATTTCACAATACTGTTTTAGTTTTATAACATCATCTTAACCAGTCATCAAAAGTTGCTAAATGCTGTGATGACTAGCTTACAAATGAAAGAATCAAAGTCAAAGGACATAAGTCCTATACCTATAATTAGCTAGAGAACGGGCTCATGGTAACTGGGTATAAATGATAGTGATGTATTAAACCCTGAAAGTACACGACATGTTCATAAATAGCTTTAGTACTGACCACCAAATTGTAGTGCTTTTACAGGGAATACCATCATATCGTACCTCTTTAATTTAAGAATTTAATTTTCAAGTAAATTATGAATTTGACAAATAAATGAAAACACTGTTTTAAAATTTGTGTATCATTATAAAACATTCAGTAGATATGCAGGACTCTTTGTGTAATACCAAGTTCATGTGAAATGTTTTAGACCTGTGCGTAAATATTTATCAAGCAAAACTGTACAAAAACAACATTATATACACTGTTGTCTTGTTAAAAAATGGAACTTCAGTGGCATAAAAAATGCAATTTTATCAGCAGAGCATTTTCACAGATTGTTTACCAGTTTCATATAAAAACATGAAAATGTCAAGTTGGATACATATATAGACAAACAAAGATAAAATGACTAAAATTCCAGTACCTAGACATAGAAAACTAAACTCACATAATTTATGTAAATGACTCGTTAAATCTAATTTTGGTAAAAAAACCCAGATTTATTGTGTAGTACTGCATGTACTGAACTCTACAATATTGTGCTCCTCAATGACTTACAGAAAAGTGTGTGACCTCTAGACCCAAAAAGTGACTTACAGTTACTTATCCTGATATACAGCTCACAGAACAGAATGTTCTATTCACAGAATAAACAATCCATTCACAGAAAAGCAGTATCTTGTAAGTGACAACTGATGTTTAATGTTGATCAACTAATTTTTCAACAAAAATTCTAACAAAATCAGATTTTCTGCCAAAATGACTGAACCGCAAGAGCCTGACAATATATATGCCCCTGGGCATTTCATAATGAAAATAGGTTAACTTGAAACCCCATTAGAACTGGGAAATTAGGAGTTGTATACAGAAGAGTACTCCATTAATCTATTTATTACATATGTGAAAATGGCCTTAATTTAGCAAGAAAATAATAGAATTACAAAACTCCTAAGACAACAATATGTCTGAAAAACATTTCTGTGAGAGTTTCATTGAAATTACAATTTTAATCCCTTCAGAAATGTAGGAGTGTGCTAAAACATGTCAACATGCTACAATCTAATATTTAGATTTTTCTGATGAAAAAACATTTGATTGAAATAAGAGCTACTATAACTACAGAATTTGTTTTGTATCCAAGTACTGGAATTCTAGCCACTGGAGAAAAATGGCAAACTACTGAATCACAGAGGTTAATAGAAGAATCATTAAAAGTTTCTTCATAAATAAAACGATTATAAATAACTGACCTACTATATATATATGTAAAAAAAAAACTTTATACAATATATGATAAAACTCAACAGTGAGGAATCTAGACTAGCTAGAACCTGTGTTACATTTACATAATTACATACATGATTATGTTACACAGTACATATTTACATCAATGTAAACGTGTAACTTTCTATTTACACATCAAAAACAAATATTGATTGCATAAAAATGAAACCTTGTGCAGTGAACAGTAAATATATTGACAGTTTTTTATAACATACTCTCACAGTTTCTTCAGTATAGATAATATTAATGGGCAGCAGTAAACTTTTTATGTAAGTCAGCAAGTAAAGTCAAATCATGAAGTAAAATATATCCCCACATGATAAGTGGGATTGTAACAAAAAAATAATAATAAAAATTTAGAGCCGCCCCAAGCAGTTTGTTTGGATCTACATTAAATGATATCAGTTAAATTTTAAAATACAAAGTCAATTTTTATTTGTCAACAATCTGATGTTTATAATTCAAACAGACAGTGTCATAAAATCTTTCCTCATTAAAAAAACTGTATATGTAGTTTGCTTAGATGTTAGAACTACTGTTAAGTTAAAAGGCTGAACAAAAATGATTCAGTAAAAAAAAAAAACTGAGAAATTTATACTTTAGACCACAAGGAAAGGATTAAAAATCACTTGACGCTGCTCACTTGCATAGATATGTGTACAGTGTAACTTCTAGAGATAGGCCCTTTGTAGAACTGTAACCTCTTTGCTATTACAGCATCAGTTCTTTCATAATTAAGACTTAACAATAAATTGGGCCTCACTAGAACAACACCTTGACAAAATCTTGGTTTTCCAGAAGAGTTATTCTGCAGAGTTTTAACTGTATCTCTTAACATCATAGAATTGAAAACGGGAAAAAAATCTTCATTGAGATGTACAGGTAAATGCAGAAAATTTGTTGAAATATTGCATTTTGAATTTCGACAACAGTCAACATGAACAAAACGGGCAAAAAGAAAAATTCCATATAATACATAAAATAAGTTTGTAATATCATGAATATAAATTCATCAGAATGTAAATTGCTGCATAGTTTGAAAAATCTACCCTGCATGAAAAATACTCTGCTGCGTAGAAATGAACACACTAAACATTCTGAAAAATACTACAGATAGGCCTATTTGAAAATATTATTTTACAAAATTTTCACAAGGTATGTAAAGTTTTCATTGAAAGTACAAGCAACAAAAATAAAAAATACAACTTTTCCTACAAACCAGTTTAATTTATTTGGTTATTTAAGAAAAGACATTATTTTGTTATTAAGTAAATATACCTCATAAATTTTGACCTAAAATTATCCCATACTGCAAAATGTGCAAATTGATGTTTTACCAAAATATTCTTTCAAACTTTAAAACAAAATACTGGCACCTTCATGGTCAAATTAAGTTCTATTACTTATATCTTTTTTCTCTACCTTACAATTTTAATCAGGCATATGTTATCTGGTAAACTCCATTAACTCAAAATCTGTTACCTTGGTAACGAAATTGTTTCTTAAAGAAAGAAGACTAGATTTTATGTTTAACAATAATTTCAAACTCCCGAATACAGTTTAAGTAAACTTTACATAATGAGATCTATATAGCTACATGAACAAACAAAAGAAAAATCAACAAATTATAAATACTATTTTAATATGCACCTTTGGGACTAAATTATAAAGGATTTTGTTTAGCACCTTCAGTTGTAAACTTTATCATATATATCAGAATTGATTAGTTATAGTAAACATTATACATATAATAATATATTTCTAAAAGTAAAATAACAAATTAACTAACAATCATTAGCACAGATCTATATCATTATCTTTCTACCGATAATGTTAAACTCCTCAAGGGACCTAATGAGACATGCTCGGATAAAAGATGTCAGAAAAATAATACTCAGATCTTTATACAGAAAAAAGAGAGAAACAGTTGTAAAATAAACATAATGAACAAAATTAACATGTTAGTAAAAAAATGTTGAACTGTATTAGATCTTTGTTCAAATTGCACATTCTGACAAGCTGCCGTAGTTATAATATGTAAAATGTGCGTAATACTATTTTCTTTCCTGCCTATAACTCGTAAAGCACCTATTATACTTTATTATAATCACTTAAAATGATAAAAAATTATTTGTTTATATAAATCATATTTAAGACTGCCACTATATATATTATGTTGTTGTCAAGACCAAATCTTGAGTACTGCTTTTACAATGTAACAGTTACTTCTTTTCGACAAATGAACAAAACTAAAAAAAAACTTTTGCAGAAAATTGTAGTTTTTGCTACCTGATATTACTTCTATCTCCTTTGTACCTAGTTATCACTTGTTGCTTTTAGTTCACACACAGTTTTGATATATTTATTAAAGATAAACAGAATTTACATGGATTTTCAAGACATAAATGACTTGTCTACAATTTTACACTTACTGTTTTATGACAATGAGATGTTAAAAGTCACATGGTATCGGCACAATGATATGACTACAATCCGTAACACCACTGCTAACATACTATCCTCCATTAATTAAGTTTCTTTTAAATCTCTTATGTAAATTATTGAATAAATGTTCTGTATTGTATTTTTATATGTCAGACAGCCTCGTCAAGTCATGTAGCCATATCGGATCATCTGACCTTATATTTGGCTGCTTTTATTTTTTTCTGGTTTCATTGACATTCTATATGACAAACAAATCAGTTGGCAAGAGCAGTTATCAAATTTTGTTCATCAAAATGTTTTACTTTTTAAATCCTCAATATTGACCAACTCTTCATATCACTCAAAAATAGCAATCCAAAAGGAATAATATGTTACAAGAATTCAGCACCTTTCCAACCTTGATCAGATCTTCTCAGTTATCTCCCTTGCCCATTGAATACTGTCTTTGTTTTTGCTGACTGCACCAAATACATGCACAAACATCTCCCTTCCTTGAACACAAAATCACTATTCCATATAAAACATAGAATGCTATCAGACTTGCCACAATAATAAATGATTTGTACTATCATCTTTTCCAGCTGCCTCGTTAACAACGTTTGTTCGAAAGTCTTCATAACCGTCTCCGCCACTTATAACTAACATACGTGTAGCTAGAGCGGCGGTCATTGTTGCCACTGACGACCGTCGTTTATTAAGATCCTGCGGTGACGGAGCGTCAGGTTCTCGTGTGTTATTATTAGCACTGTCTGATCTAGAATGACTACCTGCCAATAATGGTGGCACATTAGAATTTGCCATTTCAACACATGTAAGGAATCTTACATGTCCTGTATGTCCATACACAAGACCTGTAATATTTATATACAATATATTACTTATAAGGACCAGGAATTTTTTTTTCCACAAAATTAAAAGTGAAAATATTTCACAATATCAATATATAAACAAGAACCGGTTGAACTGGGTGATGCTCCCCGAGAAGGTTTTGGACACAGGAAAGTATAAAAAAATGAACAAAGGGCAAAAACTCCAAAATTAGGCAAGGCGAAGTTATGTTTTTTTGCACTGTACTTCTATTCAATGAGATCTATCTTTCTGTAAAGTTTCCTGATGATATCTCTTATAGTTTCAGAGTTATGTCCCGGGTAAAATTTAAAGTGTAAAAATGAACAAAGGGCAATAACTCCAAAATTAGACAAGGCTTTGTTTAGGTTCTTTAAGCATTGCAGTTCTATCCAATGATATCTAGCTACCTACACAGTTTCATTTTGATATATCTAATAGTTTTAGAGTTATGTCCCTGACAAAAGTCAAAAGTAAAAATAAACAAAGGGCAATAACTTCAAAATAAGGCAAGGCAAAGTAATGATTCTTTAACACTGCACTTTTACCCAATGAGACCTATCTATCTACAAAGTTTCATGTTGATATCTCTTATAATTTTAGAGTAATGTCCCGGACAAAGTTCAAAGTGTCAAAATGAACAAAGGACAATAACTCCAAAAGTAGACAAGACAGTGTTACAGTCTTGTGTTCTGCAAACCTACTTAATGAGATCTATCTACCTACAAAGTTTCATGTTGATACCTCTTATACTTTTAGAGTTATGACCCGGACAATGTTCAAAGTGTAAATTAAACAAAGGGGGATAATTCAAAAATTAGGCAAGGCAGAGTTACCGTTCTTGTGCACTGCACACCTACTCAATGAGATCTATCTACCTACAAAGTTTCATGTTGATACCTCTTATACTTTTAGAGTTATGTCCCGGACAATGTTCAAAGTGTAAAATAAACAAAGGGGGATAATTCAAAAATTAGGCAAGGAAGAGTTACGGTTCTTGTGCACTGCACACCTACTCAATGAGATATATCTACCTACAAAGTTTCATGTTGATACCTCATACTTTTAGAGTTATGTCATGGACAAAGATCAAAGTGTGAAAATAAACAAAGGGGAATAATTCAAAAATTAGGCAAGGCAGAGTTACGGGTCTTGTGCACTGCACACCTTCTCAATGAGATCTATCTACCTACAAAGTTTCATGTTGATACCTCTTGTTGTTTCAAAATTATGTCCCGGACAAGAAAAGCGGACAGAAAGACGGACGGACGCACCGACGGACAAGGCGGCGACTATATGCTCCCCCGAATTTTTCGGGGAGCATAAATATTTCCAAAAATTAATATTGAAGTGTTTCACAATACACTGATTCTATAATAGAACATATTGTAAAATAGTTCACAATTACAGAAAACATTCCATGTATGCTCTTCAACTTAAGTTTAACCATTATGATGATGCTTTTGAAAAACTTTGTAAACTTGTTAACATTAGATACAATTACATAACAGAAGACTGTGGCATAAATAATTGTTCTAGTATATGAGGTAATGACTTTCTAACCATTCCGAATACAATTGTTATATTGCATTTTGCTAAAACTGATGCTTACACTTTAAGAAACTGTTGTGCACTTGAGGGCAAATTAACCCTTGTTTTAATGCTCTTATCCCCAAGTTTATTTTGAAAACAGTTCATTATCAATTTTAGAGAAACAAGTCACGATGAGGACTTGAAAGTTGGTTAGCTGTCACTTTTCAAGCCTGGTTAGACTGCATGGATTTGTAGGCAAGCCTGGCCAAATACTTGTGGTAAAGGGTACAAGTTTGGGTTCCAGGCCTGTAAGAACAACTTACCTGTGACATTTGGTATTGAAAGGCTCCCCCTGGTGGTTGTAGAAGTTATTTTTGGAATAGGTATAGTGAGTATGACACCAGCACTGGTTCCGATCCACAACAAGTCCTTACATACGAGCAGAGCTGTTATACGTAAACAAGCTGCCTTATGCTGCCTTATGATATCATCAGCCGCTACAATATAAACAATAATGGTATTATCTTACTTTCTAAACACCCTGAATTATCTACTTCCCTATACTTCTATAGTAGATACTTAACATTAGGCTCTAAAAAAGATATCAATATTGGGCTTCTATAGTAGATACGAAATATTGGGCTTCAATAGTAGATACAAAATATTGGGCTTCAATAGTTGATACAAAATATTGGGCTTCAATAGTTGATACAAAATATTGGGCTTCAATAGTTGATACAAAATATTGGGCTTCAATAGTTGATACAAAATATTGGGCTTCAATAGTTGATACAAAATATTGGGCTTCAATAGTTGATACAAAATATTGGGCTTCAATAGTTGATACAAAATATTGGGCTTCTATAGTACAGATGCTATATATTGGGCTTCTACAGTAGATACAAATGTACAAAATATTGGGTTTCAAGTGTTGTTACAAAGCATTGGGCTTATATAGTTAGTACAAAATATTGGACTTCTATAGTAGATACTAAACTAGAACTATCGCTGAATGCGATTCATACCCCCACCAATGTCCTTGACAGAAGACAACTTGGAAAGGTGGTTAAGGGAATAACTTAAGTGACACAAATACATAAAAAGAAATTATCTCTGGTGAAAAAAAGACTAATTGTACAGGTAATAGTAAAAATATCTATTATCAAATCATGTTCGAAACAGTTACAAATAACCTTTCATTTTCCCAATATACTAAACTTTTTATAAGTCAATTTTTGACCTTCAAGTGTGGCCTTGACCTTCAGCTGGCACAAGGGTAAGATGGGTTCTGCACATCGCCCAATTGGAGTGAACATTTAAGTAAAGTTTGAAGAAAATCCTTCCATTAGTATAGAATTTATAGAGCGGACACAACATATTGTCTAGTATTGATTGTATGTAAATTTAAAGACTTAAAAAGGGGCATAACTTTGTCAAAATTCAATACAGAGTTATGAAACTTGACCTGCATATTGTAATTGTGACACCTCATATATCTTTTAAGTTTCAAGCAAATACCTATGCTAGTTTCCGAAATATTCAAGAACATGTTTTAATCTAAGAACATTTTCTAAGTCAATTTTTGACCTTCAAGTCTGACCTTGACCTTTAGTCTGCACAAAGGTGACATAGATTCTGCACATAACCTTGTTAAGGTGGACATTTGAGAAAAGTTTGAAGAAAATTCTTCCATTAGTATAGGATTTATAGAGCGGACACAAACTAAACTTTTTATAAGTCAATTTTTGACCTTCAAGTGTGGCCTTGACCTTCAGCTGGCACAAGGGTAAGATGGGTTCTGCACATCGCCCAAATGGAGTGAACATTTGAGTAAAGTTTGAAGAAAATCCTTCCATTAGTATAGAATTTATAGAGAGGACACAACATATTGTCTAATATGTGATTGTATGTAAAATTGAAGATTAAAAAGGGGCATAACTTTGTTAAAATGCAATACAGAGTTATGAAACTTGACCAGCATATCTTAATTGTGACACTTCATTTATATTTTAAGTTTCAAGCAAATACCTTTCCTAGATTCAGAACTATTCAGATATATGTTAAAATTAAAGAACATTTTCTAAGTCAATTTTTGACCTTCAAGTGTGACCTTGACCTGAAGCCGGCAAAAGAGTGACATGGGTTCTGCACATAACCTTGTTGAGGTGAACATTTGAGCCAAGTTTGAAGAAAATCTTTCCATAAGTGTAGGACTTACAGAGCGGACACGACATACTGTGTAATATTTGATTGTTTGATATTTGACCTTCAATTGTGACCTTGACCTTGAGCTGACACATGAGCAACATGGGTTCTGCACATCCCATTGTTGAAATGAACATTTGAGCCAAGTTTGAAGAAAATCTTTCAATTAGTGTAGGACTTACAGAGCGGACATGACATATTGTGTAATATTTGATTGTTTGATATTTGACCTTCAATTGTGGCCTTGACCTTAAAATGACACATGGGCAACATGAGTTCTGCACATCCCCTTGTTGAGGTGAACATTTTAGCCAAGTTTGAAGAAAATCTTTCAATTATTGTAGGACCTACAGAGCGGACAAGACATACTGTCTAATATATGATTGTGTTTGATATTTGACCTTCAATTGTGACCTTGACCTTGAGCTGACACATTGGCAACATGGGTTCTGCACATCCCCTTGCTGAGGTGAACATTTGAGCCAAGTTTGAAGAAAATCCTTCAAGTGGTATAGGAGTTATAGGGCGGACACGAAAATGGAGACGGACGGACGGACCGACCGACCGACCGACGCGACAAAGCGAATCCATTATAGCCCCCCCCACATTTTGTGGTGGGGGTATAATAATGGGCTTCTACAGTAAATACAAAATATTGGGTTGCTATAGCAAATACAACATATTGGGTATAATTCAGATATACTTTAACATAAAGGCTAAATCTGTATTTAAGGTTTGTATATCATAGAAGTTACAGCTTAATTGCTACAGGAAGTGGCACTTGTGCATCGTTTAGCAAATCAGCAACCATGTAGTAGAACCACATAATATTAACATCAAACTTCCTTAGCCTACATGTATCTTGCTTACTCACATGAAAGCGTTCACTAGAATTGACCAAGTGCTTTAAGATTAACAATCTTAACCAATTAAAGTTTGATCTTAACAAAAACAATTTAAATATTTCCTTATCACTAATTTCACTAGTTTTACTGACCTTTATTAACGAAATGTTAAAGAAAGAAAGATATAAATATACCTTGAAGTTTCTGGTTGACTGCTTGTGCTATACTGACTTCAAGGAGAAATTCAAATGTGGTAGCATGATACAGTACAACTTTGGCACTACTCTGTGACGCTATCCATACACCTTGACCACAATTCACTATACACTGAACACAACGATTACTATCTTGGTGAACTTGAAATGTTTGCTGTAATACCAAAATGTTGTGTAAACAGTAAATTATCAAAAGATTGCACAGGTTCTTATATAACATTGTTTAATTTCTAATCACTGTAAGTCAACTCATATTCAGGACGTCAAACATAACAACATATAAAAAGGCTTGTCATCTTCTTGACGCAAATATTGGCGTAATAATTTTAGTACATGCATATGTACGTAACAACATGTATATACTGGGTGTTTTACCAACAAAAATTGAGATATTCTAACACTTTTTCGTTTCTTAATGCTGAAGATTTTACTTAAAGATCTCTATTCTACAATGAGGGGCATTCCAAAGTATACAATTATAATTAAGTCATAGAAAATCAAGTTTAATTTTTTTTAAGCTATGTTTAAACACTCAATGTGCCTTGCAATTTGATTGGTTAGATATAATATATATTAAAATTAACTTTACCTCAACACTAAGAGTGAGTGGGTTTATCACACAGATGTTGTTTTGACGGCCACACCACAATTTCCCAGCTACAGCTAACATCTTTACTATAGGGGCAGTCACACTGCCTATTGCACGAGTATATGGATTTTCTGAATCCCATGTCCCTTCTAAAATATGAAAAATACAAAGATGTAATAAATGGATTTTAGATTCCTAAATAAAGGAAGCAAGAATTTTGGTAATGCTGATATATCCTCTCTATAGGTATGAACATGGATTGTTACAATATGAGGTACAGTCGAAAGGAAAGACAAATGGGCAACTATGACCTCCAACAAAGCATTTAAAGTTTCCTAAAAATAAATACACTCTTTACTCCAATGTGTCAGAGTGTTCTGTGTCATTTATCTTTTGAAGTCTCAAATCATACTCACATTTATCTAAAATCATACATTTATCTTGTAAAGTACAAAAATCACACCAAAATTTATCTTGTGAAGTCCAAAAAGCATTTCAACATTTATCTTTGAAATATCCTAAAAACATACTAATATTTATCTTTTGAAGTCAATTATCTTGAAATATCCTAAAATCATACTAACATTTATTTTGGGAAGTCCTTACATCATACATTTATCTTGGGAAGTACTAAAATCATACATTTATCTTGGAAAGTACTAAAATCAAACTGACATTTATCTGGGGAAGTCCTAAAATCAAAATCATTATAATACAAACCTGAGTCCCTTCTGTAAACCATGAGATCACCATTTGATAATGAAACAAACACCTTGTTGTCCAGGTAACTAAAACATAAATATAATTTTTAAAAGTTTATAGAACACAAATGTTTTAAAGACAATTTATTTCACAAATAAAATTAATTTTGTTATGCATGAAAACAACAAACAAAATAAAAACAACATGGATATTTATCATTCATTCAATAAATATTTTCAAGGCAAGTAATATTAATATACTTACAGTATACAATATATAGGATAGCCAAGCTGAATTTTAAGTTTGTTCTTTGTAGTTTTAATATTGTCTGTACACTGGAATATATGGATGCTGAAAGAAAATGAGATACAATTAATGAATATAAATTGTTTGTAACAGTAGTTGAATAGTTTATTTATTAGTTTACCATTGCACGAAAATGAAAAAGGTCATATAGGAATGTTCAAGTTTTACTGGCAGACCAAGACTTCAGGCGCCCCTCCATGCATTATTTCAGGCACAAACAGTAACCTGAACAGAACCACCAACATTCTTTTAGTTAGTTGGGTAGCTTCCTTACATGAAAAATTCCAAAGTCTTTAGCATAATTTTGTACCCACAGGGGCGAGGAGCAAGTGGTTTGAAGTCAACATCTGTAACCATTCAGCCAGGATAATCCTCTAAACTCACAGAATGGAAAGCTTTTTCCACATAAATTAAATAGGGTAAATTATAATTTACTGACCAGCCATCTTCAGTGCCCAGCCACATTGTTGATTTAGCAGGATTTTGGGTCCATGAACCAGTGGTAGTGAAAGACTCGGGGTTTCCTGTCATTTTAGTAGGTGTGGATCTCTTAGGTTCTTCCTCAGCTGTAAAAAGTGTTGAAATATGATTAAAGATCTGGAGAAAGGGTGATCCCTTGGAAGCATTAACCACAACAAAATTACATGAAAATTGCAGAATTGGTTTGATTCTATACAAGAGGGATAATCAAATCCTGTAACATCCCTCAAGGTCCCTAGCACCGGCTTAAGCGATACTCAATTTTCAATACTTAAAAGTGCTGGAATCAATGATCCCAAAGGACCAAAAAAAATACAGTATTCATAATAATTAATGCCATTACTTCCATTTTTATATTTTCGGAGACTACACATTTATGATAACTATGTTCTTTTATAAATGTACATTGTACCATTATATATATGAATTAAATTTACAAATTTCCACAAAAATGTGCGAAAGGGAATAACATAAACTTGTGTGGTTTTTAAATAATGGGCTTAGTTTATACATTTCTTGGATAATAAGAGGCAGTCCATAAATGTTTAATAAACACCGTCAATCAAATCTTCAGTAAAAGAGCATTTCTGCATAAGTATAAAAAAAGAAAAAAAAAACAAAGAAAAAAACAAAGATCTTTGTCAGTGAATCAAGTTATAATTTAAGTGTTTACATGTTATTTCTTCAGAGAATGTCTTCAATATAATGCTGTTTCTAAACAAGAGGGCCATGATGGCCCTGAGGTCGCTCACCTGTATATAGCCCCACCCCCGGGCCAATTTTTACCCAAGGGCTTTTATTTGTTTATTTGAACAGACTTGGTAGACACCCATAAGAAGATGTTTCATGCTAAACATCTAAGTTCTAGCTCATTGGGTTTTTTAAAAGAAGATTTTTAAAGTTTTTACTATACACATATAGTTAAAAACAATGACACCCCTGGGGCAGGGCCAGTTTTGACCCCCGCGCTTTTATTTGAACAAACTTTGTAGATATTTACTTAAAGATGTTTCATGCTTAATATCTAAACTCTAGCTATTTGTTTTTTTTCAAAGAAGATTTTTAAGTTTTTGCTATACACATAAAAGGAAAATCAATGACCCCCCCCCGGCGGGGCCAGTTTTGACCCCAGGGCTTTTATTTGAACATACTTGGTAGACACCCATTAGAACATGTTTCATGCTAAATATCTTAGCTCTAGCTCTTTGAGTTCTTTAAAAGAAGATTTTTTAAGTTTTTACTATATGCATATAGGGCAAATCAATGACCCCCTGGGGCGGGGCCAATTTTGACCCCAGGGCTTTTATTTGAACAAACTTGGTAGACACTCATTAGTAGATGTTTCATGCTAAATATCTTAGCTCTAGCTCTTTGGGTTCTTTAAAAGAAGATTTCTTAAGTATTTACTATATGCATATAGGGAAAATCTATGACCCCCTGGGGCGGGGTCAATTTTGACCCCAGGGCTTTTATTTGAACAAACTTGGTAGACATTCACTAGAAGATGTTTCATGCTAAATATCTAAGCTCTAGCTCTTATGGTTCTTTAAAAGAAGATTTTTTAAGTTTTTACTATATGCATATAGGGAAAATCAATGACCCCCCGGGGTGGGGCCAGTTTTGACCACAGGGCTTTAATTTGAACAAACTTGGTAGACACTCACTAGAAGATGTTTCATGCTTAAAATCTTAGCTCTAGCTCTTTGGGTTCTTTAAAAGAAGATTTTTTAAGTTTTTACTATATGCATATAGGGAAAATCAATGACCCCCTGGGGTGGGGTCAATTTTGACCCAGGGCTTTATTTGAACAAACTTGGTAGACATTCACTAGAAGATGTTTCATGCTTAATATCTAAGCTCTAGCTCTCACGGTTCTTTAAAAGAAGATTTTTTAAGTTTTTACTATATGCATATAGGGAAAATCAATGACCCCCGGGGCGGGGCCAATTTTGACCCCAGGGCTTTTATTTGAACAAACTTGGTAGACACTCATTAGAAGATGTTTCATGCTAAATATCTTAGCTCTAGCTCTTTGGGTTCTTTAAAAGAAGATTTTTTAAGTTTTTACTATATGCATATAGGGAAAATCAAGGACCCCCTGGGGCGGGGCCAATTTTGACCCCAGGGCTTTTATTTGAACAAACTTGGTAGACACTCACTAGAAGATGTTTCATGCCAAATATCTAAGCTCTAGCTCTTAGGGTTGTTTAAAAGAAGATATTTAAAGATTTTTCTTTCGGTTGCCATGGCAACCAGAGTTCTGCATGGAATTAAATTCTTTGAACAATTTTTAAAGGTGACCACCAAAGGAACATTCCTGTGAAGTTTGGATGAAATTGGCTCAGTGGTTAATGAGGAGATGTCATTTAAAGCAAAAGTTTACGGACGGACGACAGACGGACGGACGACAGACAGACGCCGGACGGACGGACGCCGGACGAAAAGCGATCACAAAAGCTCACCCTGTCACTTTGTGACAGGTGAGCTAAAAATGTTAAGCTAATTTTTTTAGAGAATAATTTACCTTTAACTGAGAAACTGGGAATAATTTACCTTTACATTAACTGAGAATAATTTACCTTTAACTGAGAATAATTTACCTTCAGTAAACAGTTTTCTTGTTGAAATAAATTCATCATCGGTTTCCTCACTGGAACTAGAGTCTGACTGGTACCCGTCCTCACTGACATTTTCCCCTGGTTCCGATAGCTCAGCCAGGTTCCCGTCCTCATCTATGTCTACTTCTTCAATACTGATACGAGGGCCCTCACATGTAGGTGAGGGAGGATTATGAATATATCGCTGTTTAGCACTGCTCTTCCTATATTAACATTGTATAACATAAAACATGATAGAATAGTTATCATTGTTTAAGTCACAAAAATTATCTTGATGAAATTCATTCCATAAAATGCTGTTGGTTTAGTACAACGAATATTGAAGATACATGTACATCAATATCGAATGACAAGTATCGACAAAACATTGATAACTCAGTATTATTTATCTATATTTCACTTTCTGACCTGTTTTTTTTCATAGTTTCAGTACAAACTCATATGTGTATTGTTAATAAATGCCCACTGTACATGCATGTTGTTTTTATTCTGACATTGTTATGTCTCCACTAATAAGTCAGGGTAGTTTGTGACAGGTATTTTATATAAAGCAACTTCTTTAATTAATATTTTAGGCAAAATTGTGTCATTTCTATTATTTAGTGAAAGTTAACAATTTTTCTTAAAGCTTTATTGATTATCAATTGACAGAAAATATTCAAGACACATTGTTATTGTTTCTGTCAATGACAACTCTATACAAATAGGTTAAACTTGTTTGGGTTTCAAGTCACACTAACACTTCAAGGAAGGAAAACGTCCAGTGTCCCTCACTGAATTAATTCTGGCATAAGCAGGCACCTAATTGGAACCTATGACTTCCATCAACTAGTTTTTATGGAATTGAACTCCTAAAGCAATATAATTATAAATTAACTCCCTTAGATGGATACAATAGACCTCTCACTAATTTACATAAAGAGACTTACCTTCGTAGTAGAGCATGTGCCGGTACAGCAGCTATACACAATATTCTAGCATTGCATCCTGGGACAGGGGTGTTTAATGTTACGATGGGTTCTGGTTGTAGACTCAGTAAGCACATGTGACCTACATAACCATCACTGTTACACACCCATACATCTCTATAACCACTTGAATTTACACCATCAATAGGTGCTGCACAGGAAAACTGGGAAATAAAATAATGAGATATTCTAACCTTGTTTTACCCTACAATTTCAAAGAAATTTCAAAGATAAAAAGATTTGCTTTAAAGTGACTAAGACATAACTTATAAATTAAATATTTTTCTGGTATGTTATATTTAAATGCAGTCCTACTAGTGCTCAATTATAGTACTCAATTAAAATCAAATACTTGTATGTACACATTCAAAATCAGTTTGTTTGGTGAGAATTTTAATCTCATTAATTAAATCAACTTAAATTTGAGGGAAATTATTCTACCATGTCTTTTACCACATATAAAGATTTGTTTTACTTACAGTAAAAGCAATGTTAAACAAACAATGTTAAATTGTCTCATTATGTTTTCAGGTAAGATAAGCAAGGTGGTTAATGAATGTATTACCTGCATTCCAGCCCTTGTTTTAGTGATCTGTAATGGCTGTAGGAACTCAGCTGCCCGCTTGTCAGATAGCAGTGCTGAATATATAACATCATATACGGTTACATTATTATTACAAGACATAGGTTTATATTTCAAGTTATAGGATATTTACAATATATTATTGATTCAATAAATAGTTAGCATTAACAAATGTTGACAATAAATGTGATATAGACCCTACTCACTTTAAAAATAAAACAAATATACAATATTTTAGACTCAAGTTTCTATCTTTTACTGCTACACATACCAACTTCATAGATGTGTTTGTTTTATTCATTATATAACCAAATTACATACTAATAGTAATAATTCACTTACAAAGTTTTTGTTTGGCATCTAGGAATGTGGTCTCCCAACTACTTCTCTTCTCTCCAGTGGTAAAATTTACCTCCAGGTTTAATACTCCCTCTCTATAATACAAGATATAAGATATTATATATACACATCATAATAATCTGAGTCTATAGTATTACAATAATTCAAATGAAAGTAAACTTTCTTTTTGCAAATTATAAAAATGTGTTGATCTATAAACAAGTTGCATAAATCTTACAAATACTTGAAATGAAAATGGTACATGTATGCTTAATCTTCTACAAAAACAGACAGAGGATATTCATGTTTTTTCTGTAAATACATAAATTATTTTCATGAAAAGTCTTATTACACTAGTGTAATATCGTTTTTATTAAATGGCTTTATTACACTTCTGCGCCGCGGTTTGTGTGATAAAAGTATATACAGTAATAGATACAAATATACGTTAAGAAACTTTTGTTATAGAAATGTTTGATTGGGTACTCACTGTGTGGTTACAATAAGTTCCATCTTGGTAGAATCTTGAAGGGCCTCACATAAATTATGTTCTGTTAACTGTTTCTTCATAGACTGTGTCATCTCTTTTATTACATCATTCATACTCTACATATATGTATATAATGAATAAACTCTAGTTATATGTAATATAGATTTGTGTTAAATATATGTGTGGTACAAAAAATATCCGTAACAAACTATTCTTTTTCAAAATTTGGTTTAATGTTTCTGATTTCAATAAACCTTCATCAGATAACAATACATACATGTACATTTTGTATTTAAGTTACTTGAATTCCATTTATTATCACTTAGTCAATATTACAAGCATATCAATACTGACAGGCACATGAATGTACCACCCAAAAGGTGACATCTTTTAGCTACATTCCCAAAACATAACTTGACAATCCATATTTCTTTATCTTAGATTACATATGAAGCCAGATCAATTGAAGAGTTACATTGTATGGTTAACATCTTCCATCATACAAGAACTTTTAGTAACTCAATATAGGCCAAGGGAATTGACAAATACTACACTAGTGTAAAAATTGAGTTCAGAACTCTTATACAATCCTAAACTACAAATTGACAGTTAATCATAGGTCTGAATACACAAAGTTTATTGAAATTAATGCTATAATATCAATAAGTTGGTATAATTCATAACTTTTATTGCATTAAAATTGTTTAATTTATGAAACGTTTAGACTATCAATGAGTCAGGTTAACTTACAGCATGACTACAATTAAGTTTATTAGTAAGATCTTGAATCATCTCTAGTATATCTAAATCTTCTTCAATCTGTTCCTTATCAAGTGTTGTTGTTTTCTTCAAAGCTTCCTGATCTGAAATGTACAAGGCAATAGTTTATTATTATTATTATATATATTGCTTGTCTTTTAAGCTACACACAATCTGGGAAAGCTATATAATACCGTGTCTATATTGGTGGAGGAAGACCAAAGGTGTCCCTTAATTTAGTTTATATTAGTTAGTTATGTAGAATTAGCAACCTACCAAAAGCAAGTCGGATAGCTTGTGCAATGAGGTGTTTTCATAATTTATCTTAGTATTTTTATTATTATAAATTCATTATTCAGCAATCTACATACAGTCAAGAATGTAAATTAAAACAAAGTTTATTAAGATTTCAACCAAGTAATGTAAAAATCTTACTTTTCACAATTTCAATATCATCTAGACCAACTTTCAGCCATACTTTATGCTTTACATTCTCTGCAAAATCTTGACCTGTTGGGGATTTCCTGAAATGCAAAATGTTTGTCAAAATGATAACACCATTGTATATACAAGCAGATAGTAAAATTGAAAATTATGATAATCCATGACTTTCTGGTAACTAACAAAACAGAAACTGAAAGCCATAACCTAATGTTTCAAGTTAACATTTGACATAACAATTCAGCATCCTGAAATTATATAAATCATATCTTATAAATTGAGGGTTGACCGCAAAATTGAAGTAACTTATATGTAATAATGAAGGACTTACATCAGTCTTGCAGTCAACCCTCAAAATGTCGTTTATTTTGATGACCATTTTACAATTGTACAGACATAAGGATGAAAATATTGTTGGCATGTTGGCTGTAAATTTACAATCTCTATCATTATAAAAACAAAACACAATTCATTTTTATCTTAATTAATTTATATATAATTACAGGCCATAAAACTGTATCTTTTGTGGAAGTAAAAACTTACAATATTATGGAGACTTTACGAGTGACTGGCCCACTTTTCCTTTTCACACTACTAATAATGATAAGATCTGAGAACATCCAAATACAACACTGGTCCTTCTTATTCTGCAAAAAACAACAACTTTTTAAAGTTTTCATTCACAAATCGTACAATATGACTACATAAAATCTCATTTCAAAACTTGTTTTACCCTGCAGTTTCTTCTGTATTTTTATTTATATTCATAGCTTAATTAAAAGATTCCTGATATATTATTCACCATGAAATTGATGATGTCCTATTTTATTATTTTCTTCACAAGATAAGGGAAGTAATGAAAATATGATGACCGGCATGAAATACTTTTGTTAAATAACTGGATGACAATTTATTAAACCATGCAAAAAAGAGAAAGTTTTAGAACTACAAGTTGCTACCAACTACTTTATAATGAAACGAAACAACCAGGCCAGCAGTGGGGTAAAACAATGTCTCTATAACTTTGACAAAATGTTCACATAATTGTTGATCTTTACATTGAGGTACATAAGAAATAATAACATATAGTATAAGAATAAGTATTTACAAGAACACATACCATAATGTTGACCATATCATGCCTGAGGTAGGATCTGTCTGGTACAGCCAGCTGTAATACATATACATGATAAGTTAGAACAAAATGAATGGCATAAAAGATAAATATTAAATACACAAAAAATTATGTTGATAAAATATTGGATTTATTGTGAAACATTAATCTGCGTCTCAAATAAATTAAAAACATCTTTGCATCAAAGGAAGTAATGAACACTCATTAATATCTATCTATTAAATTAGTTAATTCAATAGCTGCATGTTTCGCAGCAAAAATACCATCCATGCGAACAAAATCAAAATGGCCAAAAATAATTAAGTTGAAAAAGAAATGTCACATATTCTAATGTTATTAAAATTCAATTATTTCAATTTCTTTTTTATTTTTGGTTGGGTTTAACATGGCACCAACACAGTATAGGTTTATTGGCAACCTTCCAGCTTAACTTGTGGAGGAAGACCTAACAACCTTAACCACTTAGCCATGGATGCCCCTTAACCCATTGCTTCATGAGCATTTTGTGAAAAATGGCTGTTTTCATTGAAAAGTCTCCCGTTACAAGTTCAAATTGCTATAATACTATAAAAACTGCTTCAACACTAATCAAACTTGGCACAAATGTTGACTGGACCATTGCCCTTGAAACAACATGCTCAGGCTTAAATTTTCTGTTACCATGGCAACGAGGGGACATCTCAAAATTGCCAAAAATCACTATTTTGCGTTGATTTTTTCCATCAAAATTGATTTCAAAGTGCTGCAACTTTTCAATGGATTGAGATAGAGTCAAATGCTTTTCAGCGTTGGTTACACGTTACCTTATGATCAATCTGGGGTCATTTATAGCCTCTCACAAGTCCAAAATTTTCTTGGCGCACATCCCCCTTCTGGCAACCCCCTGATGTATCTTTTGGTTGGGGGGCCGCGCCGAAAAAGAGGTCACTTTTTTTAACAACATTTCTCAAACAAAAACAAGTGTTTGGGGCCTAAATAAGGCGTTTTTTCATCATTTGAGACAACAAAAAGGGGGGGGGGTGAAAAAGGCGTTAAAAGGCGTGTATATGAAGTAATGGGTTAAGATTAAAATTATTTAATTTTTCATTATAAATTAACATACAGAATGATGTAAAACACTATTTTATTTCCAAATTTCTCAATCATTAACTATTACACAGACTTACATCAGTAATGAGTAAAAGTTCAAGTTTTTTCAGAGTTTCTTGTTGACTGTCCTCTGTCTGTGTCTCATTTAGAGAATTAATTTTCCGTGCAAACTCGTGCATGGCTCTCTCTGCTTCTCTAAGTAGGCTATAATCTGGATGATCCCCTGCAGTGTTGACCAGCAACCTCTGTATTTATCATATAAAATAAAAACATATCATATAATGAAGTATAAAAACACATCACAATAATATAATTTACAAATGCCTATACTGTAATGCTTTTTTAATTTTTATTTGGTTGGGTTTTATGTTGAACCAACAGAGAGTCATATGACAACTTTCTAGCTTTACTGATGGAGGGAGACCTCAGGTACCCTTCCTGTACACTATTTCAGGCACAAACGGGTACCTGTGTAGAACCACCTACATTCTTTAAACAACCTGGATAGCCATCTCACATGAAAGAATCCAAAGTCTCTTTAGGGATTCGAACCCATAGCAGTGAGGGGCAAGTGGTTTTAAGTCAACAACCTTAACCACTCGGCTACAGATGCGCCTGGCCCATAATATATGAAGAATATGATAAATATAATTACAGTATAATGGAAAAAGACTGCAGCAAGGTGCACAGTCTGGCATGTCCCTATATTAATGACACAATTGGTATTCCAATTGCCAATGATCAAATAATTATATATGATATTTAGTTATAATCTTTACCTGAATCAGGAGTTCATATCTTGGAATTCTCTGTATTGGACGAACAATTAAATCTTTCAGGGACAATTTACTACCACTCTCCTTCTGACATTGCTGAAATATACAATAACTTCATTAAAATAAGATCAATCTCTACAATCATTTCAATATGTAATATATTTTAAATGAGCATTAAATTCATTATTATTGTAAGAAGATTTCTTCAACAAATCAAAATATTCTGAAGTAACACTTATTCTGGTAAATGTATATTAACAGGTCATGACTGGTAGGGTTTTAAGTCATGGTCAAGGACACAGTAAAGGTAATATAACAAGTTTGCAGCTTTACTGGTTGACAAAGACATTCGGTGCTCCTTCATGCATTATTGCTGGGTACTTTCTTTCATGATACAAACAACATTCCTCGGCTGGATTCAAACCCACAGCATCTAAGAGAGCAAGTGGATCAAAATCTGCAAACTTACCACTCAGCCATTGAAAACCCCATACCCATAAAAACTGCTGGTTTGCTACTTCATGATGGATAGGTTTTAACAAGAATTTCTATTTTCAGAACTTCCTAGGTCTATAATTTATATCTGATTCAAATGAAAATTGGCACAATTATTGCAAAAAACAGCCACATCACAACATTAGTTTTTCTAAAGCAGCTTGAAAAGGGTATAAAAAGTATATAAGAGCCGTTATGCAGGCCTCAACATTGGTGGCATGTGCAATCATTCTTACACTAGCAAATACATAAACAGTCCCTTACGTACTGTTTTATGAACAGTTTCCCTACATATAGACACAAACATCTGACAAATATTTCATCATTTTTTTAATTAATCTTGCAGAAGGAGGGCACTATTTAATCACTTTCAAAGGTTTATAATATTTCTTGATACTTTTCACAGAATAAAAAACAGTTCAAAAACTGTAAAATGGTGAAAAAAAAACTAAGATAATTTAATTTCTTGAAGCTAGTAATTGCTATGGAAACACTTCAGTAAAATATCAATGTGCGTGAAAAAAATGAAAACTTTAGTATGCAAAAATTGAAAGTTATCGTAATATCTGGCAAATACATTCAGCCAAAAAACTGAAATTCCTGTAGACAAACCTATAAACTGATTTGTTTAAGCCGGTTTTTATTCTAATGTTGGTATAATTGGATATTTAGTTCAACCAACAATGTAAAGTGACTAGGTGGGAAGTTCACCAGTGTTCCTTAATGGGAACAAATTAAAAGTGTCCTTCTGTGCATCTTTTCAGCAATAGTTTGGCTCTTCCAGCAGATTAATAACTTTTTTTACAAAGAAGAAAATGACCTAAGCTTAAAGATAGTACCAGTTATACATACCCTAAGAAATAGAAAATCCTACCTATTACCATGAAGCCCATTGCATATTCTCCAAACATTCACTAAACAAATACTAAAAGCATATCTTTGCCCTTGAAGTGATAGTCACATATAAGTTGAATAAACTAATCCTTGCAACTAGTGAGATTCTCCTCACATAATGTAATGTATCAGTTATTTTGCAAGACAATACAAATGGTAAAACTATTACAATGGCTTGTATTTCCGCGGAAAATGCAAAACTGGCACATATCATACACAGACGGGCATGAGATACTGCCACTTTTTGTACGAAAAAAATAATTTTTTAATGACTTGAACACACATTACAAAACCAATCCAGAAAATCATTATATATTCATATCATAGCAGACCCAGATTTACAAAATGGCTTATTGGGAAAATGCTTGATTTGATAATGGTCCCAAAAAGGATTAATAGCTAACATCAATTTGAATAAAGGAAAAGCATAATTATTCTTTTATTATGATAACTCTTACAATAAATTTGGGGATACAGATAGTATAGTTAAGTTGTAGATGTGTTTAATTTTCCTTAAAACTAACTCAAAAGCTTTTTTGGAGGCTAGATTTTGATTCCATGGTACAGATACAATGTGCAATTGTAGTAAAAAGCATAATAACCCAACAAGTGCAAGTAGTGATAATACAACCTGAATAAAGCCCCGTCTGACCATGTCCTAAACTGTTCCTTTATTTTGATATTGAAATCACCAATACAAAGCACAAAGCCAAACTAAAAGCAATTTAAGTTCATTACAACAATTTAAACCTATTTCAATATATTTTGACTTAAGTTAAGGGACGGATACGGCAAATGACCACCATTCTCTATCAAGACTTTTATACATGTGTGAAGTTTTACACTTATGATGTAACATTTGATATAAACTAATGGCCACATCAAGTCAATCAAATAGTAGTGTGACAATGTGATGATAATTATGCATGACTATGAGACATAATTATGGCTAATCCATTGACATTATTTCTGCAGTCACATACTGTATTAGTGGTTAAGTAAATGACTACTAAATATTGGGGAAATTTGCTAATTGACGAAAATAGCTCAAATTTCCTCACCAATCTATCATTAAATTCTACCCTTGAACGATTCGCTAAAACATTTGTATTTCCTCATGCAAAATGTCTGGAATTTTAAATTCACTAACTTTTCGACAAGCAGAAATATCCGCTTATATAGTACCTTATTTATTACTTACATAAAGTCCTGTAGAGCAGCCCTTGTTAGTGAAGGTACTCTTATCACTACATTATAGTCTGTCAAGTGCTAGTTATTAATAAAAACTTACCTCAACAAACTTTTGGACGGAGGACTTGGTTTGTAATGCGTTCTCTATAACTTTACCAGACGTTTTATAATTCTCTACAAATGATAGGTAACTGTCCTGCACTGTCTGACCAGAAAACTGTAATATTAAAATATACTTATTGCATTACCCTAGTACAATACATTGACAAATAAACCATAATTATTCTGTAACTGTCATAGAAATTCCCTTTTGTTATAACAAAAAGAAGTTTCTATAAATGTATTCTCAACCAGAAGGGAATTTTTCGTATACTGTGACTGTTCCAAGTACATGACTGTGACACGAATGATTCAGTGTGATTCTGTCCTAATTCATTGAACTTAAGAACCAATTATGATAGTTCTGTGAAGAATACTCAAAGTGGTCTATATTACAAAGAATATAACACTATAGATTCTAACTCCAAACTGTCTGAATACTTGTAATAGTATGAACCTCACTATACCACCAAGGGTGACCAGTATACCAGTGTTGTCTGTCAAAAGGTCAATGGATATAATCTGAAATATTTCACATTAGTCTTTATTCTATAAATGACAACTTAACTCCAAATATGTTCATTTAAATTTGCTCAGAAGACTTACAGTTTTCAGTATAATATCACCAACTGTACTGGTATCAGTATTCCAGCGGGTCCACACTTGATTAAGGAACTCCAGGTATATCTGGTGGTGGGTAAGAATCTCTGGAATCATGTAAAATATGTTGTCTACAACACGCTCATCTATTCCAGATACTGTCTTTAATGGGTCCATATAACGCTGAAATATACCAAAACGACATAACATTATTAACAAGCAATTATCATAGTATTGCAAGCAAGTCCCCTACCAATTGGAACCTCAGCAACATTCTTAAGGGCCATTGGCCATTCACTTAATTGTTTCTATTTTAGGTAAATTTGTTGAAAAAGTTCTTAAAAAGTGATCACAGGAAACAGTTTTTTATGTACAGACAGACGGACTGAAGGACACTCTAAAGTTATTTTTTAAACATCCCTGTTATCAAAATATAACATTTTTAAAATCCTATCATGATTGAAGAAGTTGGAGTAAAAATTACCAATTTCTCAAAAAAAAAATCTAAGTTCAAAAGGGGCATAATTCTGGAAATAGTCTTGCTAGAGTATTGAACACTCACAAATGTTGAGTGATAATAAGAAACATTTATATGAAGTTTGAAGTAGATACATTCAGAAAAAGAAGTTATTAAAAAAAAAACAATGTTTTTTCATGAAAATTTTAAGTTCAAGGGAGGTAATTCTGATAAATTTTGTGCTAGAGTTGTAAACCTTGTCACATATGATGTGGTTGATTACAAGCAACTTATATTTAAAGTTTGAAGAAAATGCCTTAAGAAATAAAGAACTTATAGTGAAAAAACTTAAAAACTAGAACCAGAAATCTTGAAATTCAGTCTATTTGTTGCCATAGCAACCAGAATTTTCAACATAGGAAGACAAGAAAAGGATGTGCATAATTTCCATACTGCCATATACCAATATGTCAAGTTTCATAAACATATTTTCAGTACTTTTTGTGTTATCACTGGATCCAGGTTATGTGTAAAATTTGCCATATTTTCAGTCTATTTGTTGCCATAGCAACCAGAATTTTCAACATAAGAAGAAAAGAAAAAGACGTGCATAATCTCCATACTGCCATCTATCCATATATCAAGTTTCATTAAAATATTTTCAGTACTTTTTGCGTTATTGTGGGATCCAGGTTATGTGTAAAATTTGCCATATTTTCAGTCTATTTGTTGCCATAGCAACCAGAATTTTCAACATAGGAAGAAAAGAAAAAGACGTGCATAATCTCCATACTGCCATCTATCCATATATCAAGTTTCATTAAAATATTTTCAGTACTTTTTGTGTTATCACGGGATCCAGTTTTGTGGACGGACGGACTGACAGACGGACGTACCAAAATTTGATGTTTATGAGGCAAATGAGCTCATAAACACCACCTGGACCAACGTCCATAAGCAAAATAAGCTCATAAAAACAAAAAAAAACTCTTAATTTTAAATTTTATGAGTTTATGTTCTTTATTTAACTACGGAATAAAGCTCATAATAATCAAATGTTGGCTCGGACAGACGGACGGACGGACAGACAGACGGACGGAGGGTAAACCTAAAGTCCCCTCCGGTAAACTGGTAAGGGACTAATAAATGACAAGTTGCCAGGTCCAAAGTAACTTTAAAGATTTGTAACCTTGTCAAATTAAAAATCTCTGAACAAAGAAAACACTAGGCAAAAATGGCCCGATTTATATTTCAATTGTAATCAATTATATGTGGTAACACCTTACATAATTTTGATATTTCATCTGTCAATCAAAATGAAGCTTGTACAGGACTGGTACATATACACTCAGAATTCTTTTCTTTTCAGTCTTATTTACTCAGTGCATTTAAACTTCTATTTAACCAGTGACCTTTACTACCTTGTGGAAATCAAATAAAAAGTCCAGACAAAGAAGGTAATACCAAGTGAAAACAAGTGGAATGGTGAAATTATTGCACTTTAACAGTCATTTCATTATCAACACTTTCCTGCTTGTACTCTTTAACACTTTGTCACTTGAACCTTCAAAATACATGTATCAAAAAAATGTATCAATGTATATTAGTTATAGTTCGATTGTGTAGGAAGCTTAAAGCTTTTAGACACATTTTCGAATCTGTTCCTGGAACCAGCCAGTACTGAGCATTGAGTGTAAACTTTCTTGCTAAAAGAAACAACAGCTTGCCCTTGACAGGGTTTGAGCCCATGCAGAAAGCAATACTTAGATTACTATAATACAGTGCATTAACCACTGGGTCATGCCACCAGAGAATTCATTTGTAATAGATCTTTAACAGTAAATCTTAACTTTGTATAAAATATACAGTTTCATATTTACTGTGATGCTTATTCTTAAGATGGCCTGCTGACAAAAAAAAATCTGTCTAAAACTACAAGGTGTATAATAAATACTACCTGTGGGGAGATATCATATATACTAATAGTGCCAAACAACAATATTCATAATTAACATATAATTAGTTTCATACTAAATTCAAGTCAATAACAATGACCCATATTCTGACATCATTTCATACCAGATTTTTATTTGTTAATCATCATAACCTAGCAAGTTTTTTTGGCATTTATGAGGCATACCTGGCAAGAAGTTCAATAAATGCCGGCAAGTCTGTGGCTGCTAATTGGCCTCGTATTGTTTACAATAAGCTATTAATTAACTAATTTACAAGTCATACAGATCCGCAGCTTTTTGAAACCATCAATGAAAATAACTACAGGAAAAACAGTATCATACCTTCAACACTGTCTCCTCTAATTACAGGTAAACAAAGAAACAAGAAAAAAATATATATATCAAGCATTTAAATAGTGATTTTAATAAGTGCTGATGAAAAGAATCCACAGAATCAGAGCAATTGTCAAGTTATTATAAAGTACATTATCACAATGGAGAAATGGAATCACTGTTTTATTTACTGCAAGATTATACATTTTAATGTGTAAAGATTCATTCACTGTATCTTAAACAATTCAAAGTTTATCATTTATTGTGATTAGAAGAATCAGATCTGTTTCTTAACAGAAGGTCAGTTAATCTGATCTGTAATCAAAATTGAATCACTGACAGATGGTGATGGTGTTGGTAGTTTTCACTCCAGATCACGACAGTAAGCCACATTGAATTTACCAGAGCACAGTTCAGCCATCACATCGTTCCTGGGCAGGCTGTCAAGCAGCTTACCAGTACTAATTGCCTTCACTTTCGCAAGGAACTCGGATTACTTCAGTACATGCAAGAGCAGAAGTGCAATGCGAATGACAATATAAAGGATTTCATGATCAATCACAACGAAAGTGACCCGTGACATCCGGGAATCGAACGGTCTGTCGTGTCGCCCGATTCACAGTCCACCGTCTACCTTTTGAGCTAACCGGACAGCTAAACTGACACTGACTGATCTATAACTTACTTATAAAATACCGCACATGCCCCGCCCTCACCTTTTTACATTCAATTTAATTTTTGAAATCAAGTTCAAGTCTTGTAAGAGAGTACAACCTCATTTTTCAGTTACAAATCAATCCTTGACACATTGACACATTTCTGACATAAATTTTCTTCAGATAAGAATTCTACAGTTACAGATATTCATTTTAATGTTGAAATGTTTTGATATTCAGGTGTATTCTCTTTCATCATTTCTTTGTCTGTAGATCTTGTTTTAATTTATGATTCCATCAGAATGATATGTCTCTCTGGGCAGAGATAATCATCATGAACAGGTGCCCCCAACTGTTTCTTACATAAAGTAGCATCATGACAGTGTTAACTTATTACACCAACTAAACTAACAAACTAACCTATATTGTCAATAAACACTGGGACAAATAAAAAAAGTTTAACATTATCAAAGCCTACAGATTGGACCTTTATGGCCATGTGTCCTTACTTTAAACCTCAGCAATTTTTCTTAGAGAGAATAAAGCCTAGTGTATACTAGTAAGTTATATTTTTCTCTTTAAAACCCTAGGTAGACTAGCTGCCTCTCACAGTGGGGTTCAAACCAACAGTGATGAGGGGCTAGTGATTCAATGTCAGTGACCTTGACCACTTAGTTAAACACCACATGTAAATCCACATAAACCCATTCATTCAGGCATTGTTATTTACATATGATATGTAACCACAGGTTTGATAAATAATTTACAATAGATGTAAAAGAAGTGGACCAAGCTGGTGACCTTTACTGACCTCTGAGGTCGGGACAAAATATTCCATTCAGCTATACACCAATACAAGGATAGTCTGTTTACAAGTAAAACTATGTATTAAAAGTAATCTATATATTTAGTAGACAAATTAAGTTGCCAATCAAACAAGGTGATATCATCTATGCAACATTTACATCTACCAGATAAAATCTATTAACTTATTCCTCCCTCCTGTCAATAAAAATTAAGGAATGTCCTTAAATATAGAATATAAACCACACGATAGAGTATTTTTAGAAACAGCTTAAACCAGATGATATGCTTGAATAGTACCTGTACATTTCCGGTTCAATATTAATTGAATTCTACAAGTATTCCAGAAAACCGTCAGAAAATTGAGAAATTATATCAATTAGGAAATTGCAAAGTAATTGAAAGTTTCTCAGTCAATATTTAACAGGTTAACACATGCTAGAAGATTATCCCAGATACTGAGAGGGCATTTTGATATTCTGCCTGTATCAATATAACTACTCTGGTTTAGATTGTGCCAAAAGTTAATGAAAAAAAAACAAAAACAAAAAACAACAACAAAAACATAAAAAGGTAATTTACTAAAATCAAAATTTAATACACTATCACAAATATCCAAATTTCATTCTCTACTTGTTCAACATAGCCTTACTATAAGAGCAAAATCTATTTTTAGCTTCTGTGACCTTCACCTTAATAAAATTGACCTTAAACCCAATCAAAGACTTGAGGTCATTGTGACAGTCATTTTTGTTTGTTTGTTTTGTTTAACACGTATTTTAACACATTCTTTGTCAGCTCATCTCAAACAGCTTTTCAGGGATAACTAACAAGTAATTACCCATGCAGAGCTTTAACTACAAGCTCTGGCTAACAAAAAAATATACATTTGCAGTGCAACAGCAACACAAATATGTAAAAGTTCTATCATTCAAAACAACAATAATCTATCTGTATTAAAATAAAAAAGATCTATAC